GGGATTCCACCTCTGATCCCTGGGTCCTGCTCTCATATGATAGGAATATCTTTGTCTTTCCCAAGAAATGCTTGAGAAGGTAAAATACCAGACATGATGCCCCAGAATTGAGGTTCCACAAGTTACACTGTTGGAGAGGAAACAAATGTTTTCTCTACCCTTTTAGGTTCATGGACTGGGGCCATGCAAATTGACAAATGACATATTAACAAGAAAAAGGGTTTATGTCATATGCAGATGGTGGGCCTCCCAGAAATGAAATGAAAAGATCTGGTCAGGCCCTGAGGCTTACCTATCATTTTAACAGAAGGATGATAAATTTGTGGGGAAGTGACAAGGAGAGGAAAAGTGTTTTGAGCTCCCAGGGTCCTAAATTGTGGGAAGGTAAAGATCTGGGGAAACAAATGGAAGATAGGGATTATTTTGGTGTAAGATAGGGTTTGTGTGTGCAGGCCCATCTTGGTGTGACTTTCCAGGGAGAGGGGATTTATAACAGTCCTCATTGTCAGAAGTTTCTGGTCTTGGGGCACCTGGGTGGCTCAGGCGGTTAAGCATCTGCCTTCAGCTCAGGTCATGATCTCAGGGTCCTGGGATCGAGCCCCATGTAGGGCACCCTGCTCAGCGGAGAGCCTGCTTCTCCCTCTCCTTCTCCTGCTCCCTCTGCTTGAGCATTCCTCACTCTCTTTCTCTCTCAAATAAATAAATAAAATCTTAAAAAAAAATTCTTGTCTTAATCAGGTAAGAGAGGCTCTGGGAAGACTTGTTTCTGCATCTGTTCATTCTCATTGGCCTTTGGTGGCATATTCGGGGGCAGCATATTCTGATCCTTGTCAGCACATTAGTATTGTTGTCAAATTGTCATACAACTAGCTTTTCTGCCAGTGTCACTGAAGAAAACAATGACTCATGAATAATTATCCAATAAGAGCCATGGGGAATGCACTGAAATGATAACTTAGTTTGAGGGTAAATTTTTGGACATCTGGTCCAGTCTTTGTAAGATATAACTTTAAGGACTGTATTTCTGTGGGAATGAGGAATCCAGTGTGTCCTGCTTGCTACTGGAGTGCCAATGTCTTTTAAGTACCACAACTTTTACCGGTTAAACATATACATGGCACTTGTTCTGTGGCAGGCACTGTTTACTATGTTTTACAAATAGCATATTTTAGTCCTCAGGATAGTGTTGGGTAGAAACTAAGGCACAGAGAGGCTCAGTGACTTGCACAGCTAGTGAAAGGCAGGGCCAGGAAGCAAACCCAGGCAGTCGGGCCCCAGGGTCGTGCTGGTAATGCCCTGCACTCCACAACTGCTTTTGAGGGAATGAAGGTCAAGTGCCTGAATCCAGACAGCACCAGTCAATGGCCAACTCAAGATTAAAATCAAGTGTCTCTGACCTAACCCCAGCCCCTCTCCCTGCCCTATAGTGGCCCATGGTGGCCTAGCTTCCCCGGGGGGCATCGAGAGAGGCTTGACCTCCTTAGTTTGGCTGAAAGGCAAAATCCAGCCAGTTCTGCTTGTGTAAGCTGCGGGGTGGACAGAGCCTCCCCAGCCCCACGAACCACTGTATGCGGCCTACATCTCTCTCCATCTTCTCATTGCTCTTTCTGGGGTCCAATGGGGCTAAAAGCAGCAATGTGGAAATGCTAGAACAAGGAGAGAGAGCTATCTGAAGGCTAGAGGGTGTGACACTCGCAGTGCTCAGCTCACGTGTTCAATCCACAAATTCTGTTTAGTGCAGCAGAGACCTCCCCGAGCAACACTGGCTCAGTGCCACATCCAGCCTGCGGTAAAAGCAAGTTCTCTTTAATAAAACTCTCCCACTTCCCAAACTAGGGTAGTTCCAAATACCACCTGAGATATATGAAAAAAATTATTCATTGTTTATCTCAAATTCAAATGTAACTAGGTATCCTGTATTTTCATTTGCTTGATTTGGAAACCCCACTCCAAACACATAGCTTATTGAGCCAATTGAGCTGATTGAGCTGACTGAGCCAGTTTTGGCCAATGGTCAAAAATAAAAAACCAGACAGAAGGAAAAAAGCATTTTTCTCCAAGAAAAAAAAATCAATAAAAAATGCATTCTTAAGGTAATAAATGTTAGCGTGTTTATTCGTCATAAATGGAAGACAGTGGTTAACACAGTGAAGCAGGAGTCAAAAAAGGGAAATGTATCCATTATATAGATACAGATAATTATTTTTCAACTATATATTTGTACCTGTTCACACCTCTGCCATGATGTGGGGCCCCAGGATGGAGATGGAGGAGGGGAAGGGGGAGGAAGAGAAAAGAGAAAAAGACAAGAGAAAAAGGAATTAAGATTCCTAAGTATCTACCCTAGTCCAGAGATTGCTCTAAGGGACATATTTCTTGATCTCATTTAATCTTCATGAAATATCTTCAAGGTGGCTATGACTCTGTCCATTTTACACACAAGGCTCAGAAAGGTGAGGTGATGTTTCCATAGCAGTTGAGGTGCCAGAGGAAAGAATCCTCGTGTAGTTTGCCATTTCACCTGCCCACCTCACCCCGGTACCCCTTTGCTGGAGAGTGTGCTAAGTCCTGGACTCAGCAGCCTGTCTCTCTGTCTCTCTCTCTCTCTCTCTCTCATCCCCACTGTAAATCTCTCTATAGAGAATATAGCTCAGTTGGCCTTGAGTGTGAATTAGTTGCTCCTGTGTCCATCTCCTCTAAGTTATAGATCAGCTTGAGGAAAGGGGCATGTCTGATATGTCCCTGTGTCACCAGCCAGTACACAATGACTGGTATATGTATTGAACACCTACTATGTGCCTGACACTGGGTAAAATGCTTTGGACTCATTAGCTTAAATCCTCACAAAGACCCAGTGAGCTAGGTTTCTTATCTCCATTTTGCAGATGAGGAAAGCAGATTCAGAGAGTAAACATATTTATGAGAGTAAGAGGACTACCAGAATGCCCTAGTCTCTTGCCCCCTGGTAAGGACTCTCTCTGTCCAGGGTGGCATTTAAAAGAAACGCCATTCTAGTATCTACCCATAATTCAAAAGCAATTTAAATGTTTACTAGGATATTTCAAGAAAATTCCAAAGGTGGTTCAATCCTGAACAGACAGCAGAACTTCTTCAAATACATTTTGCTACGAAGATGCTCAGTTCCTGGGACATTTTCCCAACCCTAGGGCACTTTCTCTTGACTTTTCTCCTTCTCTCCAAGGTCTATTCCATTCTCTACCAATGGCAAATTTCTGCTCTCTTCAAAACAAGTCTGTGTGGTCCATATATTAAATGGGCATTACATGAATATCTGCGCATGCAGATATTGTAATTACTAAGTGATAACCTCACTTGCATTGGGCAGCATTCTGTGTGGTGTCTGGTACACAGAAAGCACTCAATAACTTTTCACCATTACTATTATTAGTCTCAGCTTTGCAGCTTGAACTATCATGCTGACTCTGTATAGCAAATGCCTGGCACACAGCGCTGCAGACAAGGAAGGAATGTGAACACTCCCATGCATTCGTATATTATTTTCCTATCTATCTATCTATCTATCTATCTATCTATCTATCTATCTATCTATATTTAATTTTATTATGTTAGTCACCATACAATACATCATTAGTTTTTGATGTGGTGATTCACGATCCATTGTTTTCGTATAACACCCAGTGCTCCATGCAGTACGTGCCCTCCTTAATACCCATCACCAGGCTAACCAATCCCCCCTCCCCCCCAAAACCCTGTTTGTTTCTCAGAGTCCATAGTCTCTCATGGTTCATCTCTCCCTCCAATTCCGCCCCCTTCATTTTTCCCTTCCTTCTCCTAATGTCCTCTCTGCTATTCCTTATGTTCCACAAATAAGTGAAACCATATGATAATTGACTTTCTCTGCTTGACTTATTTCACTTAGCACAATCTCCTCCAGTCTCATCCATGTTGATGTGAAAGTTGGCTATGCCTCCTTTCTGATGGCTGAGTAATATTCCATTGTATATATGGACCACATCTTCTTCATCCATTCATCTGCTGAAGGGCATCTCGGCTCTTTCCACAGTTTGGCTATTGCGGACATTGCTGCTATGAACATTGGGGTGCATATGGCCCTTCTTTTCACTACATGTGTGTCTTTGGGACAAATATCCAGGAGTGCAATTGCTGGGTCATAGGGTAGCTCTGTTTTTAATTTTTTGAGGCACCTCCACACTGTTTTCCAAAGTGGCTGTACCAACTTGCATTCCCACCAACAGTGTAAGAGGGTTCCCCTTTCTCCACAACCTCTCCAGCATTTGTTGTTTCTTTCCCTGTCCATTTTTGCCATTCTAACTGGTGTAAGGTGGTATCTCAGTGTGGTTTTGATTTGAATTTCCCTGATGGCTAATGATGATGAACATTTTTTCATATGTCTGTTAGCCATTTATAAGCAGCAGTGATGCTGTATTTAGAGGGTGTTTCCCAGCTAAACAGCCAGAAAACCCATGGAAGAGACACTGATTGTTTGTGACTATGCATGCATCCCCCTCCCAGATTCTCAGATTTCTGCAGTTATGCAGAGCCATGGGAGTAATTCTGGTATGGGCTATAAATAAAAGTGAGCATGGCACTTCCTGCCAGAGTGTATGAGTTGGTGCATAATCCTCCAGCTCTGTCCCTTCAACAACCATAATGAACCAATGACTAAGGAGCCCACAGGGACCAGACAGAGAACTACAAGGCAGTGAAGCTCCATTAATCTGGTCCCTGAGTGACTGTGTGGAGCAGAGTTCCCCACCAATGTGCAGCAAGTATTGATATAAACAAGAAATCAATGTCTGTTGTTGAATTAAGCCAATGAGATGATGGAATTAATTTGTTACCTCAGCATAACCTAACCTATCCTAACTATTGAAAGCCTTCTACATATTGTATTTCTAATGACTCAAGGATATTCTGCATCAATGTGCCTAGTAATCCAACCTGTTTCTTCCAAGGGCTTGCTTGCTTCCTTCCAGGTGGGCCAGAGTTTCACAGACATGCCAGGCTTCCTGGTACCCTGTCCTCCAGTGAGGCTATGCGTGGGTCTTACGTGTGTCCTGTCCCTTTGGAACACAGGTGGGTCCACTCAGATTTCAAAAAGTGCCTGTTCTATATGATGAGTTTGGGTTTTCACTGGGCTTTGGAGAAATGCAGCCGCCAATGTCTCAGGCCAGAACCCCAAATGACTTTGATCAAAATGGAAATGATGAATTCCCCATTTCTGGTTTTATCCTCTGACTTTGTGAACTTGAGTCTCATTTCTGCAACAGAATTATATTCACACCCACTGTTACAACCCTTGTCCAAATCTCTGTCTTCTCTTTTCTGGGCCACTAAGAGAGCTTTTGAAATCAGAACCTGCTTCTCCTCTTGCCTCTCCATGACCTATTCTCCCCTCACTAGCCTGGGTGATCTTTCATACATCTCAGTAGGTAACCTCCCAGGCTTCTCCCTGATTCCACCTACCCCAAATTAAGCAGTGACTTCCTACTTCTCTTTGGATAGTATCCCAAGTCCTTCACATGCTATACAAGACCCTGTCCACCTTGCCATCACCAGTTCCTACAATACCCTGCCTCCTCGATTCTTTGTGCTGTATCACTGTTGGCCTTTGCTCAGTTCTTTAAAGTAATAATTGTGCCCACCTCAGCCCCTGGGCACACACTTTTATCTACACTCTGAATACCCCCTCAGCCAGTTACATCCTATTCAAATACTGTTGATGCTCCAGATTTCAGCCACACATCACCTCCCAGAAAGCTTTCAGACCACTGAGATGAATCAGGCTCCCTGTTACACACCCTCAAAGTGCCCTTCAAAGTATTCAACATCATTTGCAATAATATCCTGAGTCTTCTTTTCCTTCATGTCTGCCTTCCTGACTAGACTGTAAGCTCCATAAGGATGGAATCTATGCCCACTTGTTCATCATAGTATCCCTAGCACCTAACACACTCATGCATATTAAAGTCCAGCTACCAAACAACACTGTCAGTCATTAGTGTTGTTATAGTCGATCAATAAATATTCAGTGACTAAGTTGAATGAGAAACTACAGGTGGGATTTTAAGCAAGACATGTCACCATTTCAGATCATAATTTTCTCATCTTTAAAATGAGTATTTTGAAATATTTTATGATGTCAAATTTGGGTTATAATTCTGTGATGAATGCTCTCTTCTTCTAGTGTCTGCTGTTAAAGGAGAAGCCAAGAAGGGAAAGGTCATGACCTTCCTTCCCACAACAGGTAAAGGGGCAGGTGCTCCTGCCCAGCTCATTCTGTCTTGGGCAAACTCTTTGGCTTTTCTCCGTTTCACTTTTTCTTTTTTTTTTACTTTATTTTATTTTATTATGTTATGTTAGTAAACATACAATACATCATTAGTTTTTGATGTAGTGATCCATGATTCATTGTTTTCGTATAACACCCAGTGCTCCATTCAATAGTGCCCTCCTTAATACCCATCACCGGGCTAACCCATCCCCCCACCACCCTCCCCTCTAAAACCCTCAGTTTGTTTCTCAGAGTCCATAGTCTCTCATGGTTCATTTCTCCCTCCGATTTCCCCCCCTTCATTTTTCCCTTCCTTCTGTTAATGTTGCCTCAAGCTCTGTCATAGGAATAGTTCCTGGGAGTTGCTCTTGCTTTATGGTTCATGGCACACCTGGATTCTCACGATCTTATTAAATCCACAAAGATCATGATATTCTATGAACCATGGAAGATTTCATAATGGGTGGTATTGTCATGTGCTATATCATCACCTTTGCAATAATTTCATCTTTCTTTGTCTTTTCTTTTTACTTTTTGATGTTATGAAATTGGCTATACAGCAAGACAGTGACTGCATGGTAACATAAGGAACACATAGGAGGCAGGGGCCTGGTTGCTTTTCCTAACTTGTTGGTAAACAAGCAGGATAATGGGGGGTGGGTTGGGGAGATTACCCTTCATTTTTAAATATTTTTTAATAGAGGGAGCACATGAGAGCGCGAGCAGTGGGGAGAGCGGAGGGAGAGAGAAAGAGAATCTTTAGCAGGCTCCAAGACCAGCACAGAGCCCGACTTGAAGCCCAACACAGGGTTCGATCTCACACCCCCAAGATCATGACCTGAGCTGAAATCGGGAGTTGTATGCTCAACCGACTGAGCCACCCGGGCACCCCTAATTTTTATTTATTTTTAATTAGTACACTCACGCGATTCAAAATGCAAAAGGTACAAATGTGTATAAGGTTAAAATGGTCCCCAGCCAACCTCTTCCCTTCCCCAGAGGACAATAGTTGTACCAATTTCTTGTGTATAAGCAGTGTAATTTTCTTTTTTAAAAAAATAGATTTTATTTATCTATTCATGAGAGAGAGAGGCAAAGGCAGAGGGAGAAGCAGGCTCCCCGCAGAGCAAGAAGCCCGATCTGGGACTGGATCTCAGGACCCCAGGATCACGACCCGAGAGGAAGGCAGACACTTAACTGACTGAGCCACCCAGGCGTCTCTAAGCAGCGTAATTTTCAATCAATATTCAATCAATATTTCCCCTATTTGAGCCTTTTTCCTCCTCTTTAAATGGGAAAAATTTCTGTTCCACAGGTAACCATAAAGGATGAAAGGTGATTAAAATAGTAAGCATGAAAAAGTATGAAAAGTAGCAACACCTTCTATCTTAAAGATACCACTATGGTGGTCTTTTTATACAAAAAGAGACCAACAGTTTTATATTCTCCGTCTGGCAATTTATTTGAAAACTGCTTCTGTATGGCATCCCATTCAGAAATTTCTGCTTCAGGGCTGTTCAGTTCACACTTCAAATATAGTTAGCAAAATCCACCCACAGGTTGGCAATTATAAAAAACTCTGGTGGAAATGATGTTTCCTTGGTGGAAGGAGCGGTGTCCAAAGATAGTTCTTGGTTAGGAAGATTGCACAGGGCCCACCAACCTGGTTTCACAGGTGCAGGAATCCTGCAAGCCTCGTAGCCTAGAGCACCCCCATAGCCTGGAGCTCAGGAGCCCACATGACCCCGATCCCTCACCGGCACGGAGGTCTCTCCTTCCTGGCCAGGTCACAGGCAAAGTCGGTGTCCGCCACAAATGTCACTTGGGGATGCATCATGTAGACCGTTCAGGTGGAGGGCCATTCAGAGCACCAGATGGAAGAGCGGGCTGGATGCCAGCTTTGGGCCTGCCTGATCGCAAACGTCTGTCTCAGAGTTCCTGTTGTGGTCACATAACCCACCTCCTCCAGTAGCCATGTGTCAGGAAGGAGAACCACAGACCCCACCTACCTCTGACCCCAAGGCTCCAGTATTTAATCAAGAAGTATACTTACTGAAAGGTCAAACTGGCTTAAGCAGACAGAATTTAACTGGGTCGAGGTTCCACAAGCTGCTTGAAAAGCCGGGAACACCCTAAACATCCATCCACAGATGAATGGATAAAGAAAATGTGGTATGTACATATTATGAAATACCATTCAGGCTTAAAAAGGAAGATAATCAGGATACCTAGGTGGCTCAGTGGATTAAGTGTCTGCCTTCAGCTCAGGTCCTGGGATTGAGTCCCGCATCAGGCTCCCTGCTCGGCGGGGAGCCTGCTTCTCCCTCTGCTTGCTGCTCCCCCTGCTTGGGCTCTCTCTCTCTCTCTCTCTCTCTGACAAAATAAATAAATAAAATCTTTAAAAAAAAAAAAAAGGAAGATAATCTTGCCATACACAAGGCATGGATGGAGCTGGAGGACATTAAGCTAAGTGCAACAAGCCAGCCACAGAAGGATGAATACTACATGACACCACTTCTAGGAAATAGCCAAAATAGTCAAACTCTTAGAAGCAGAGAGTAGAAAGGTGGTTACCAGGGACTCCGGGGAGGGGAAACAGGGCCACCAGCTAGATACAGGGTGTAGATACATCACTTCGCTTTCCTGGGCCTTAATTTCCTCACCCTTCTAAGGGAATGCTGGACAAGGTAACTTGGAAGGATGTTACAAATTGTGAGGCTGTGCTTTCACGATCCTATTTCATTCCTGAGAACTTTTATTTCAGTGTCTGGAAACAGACGTTCAAAAGGAAAAAGAGGCTCCTGTCCTCCGTGTGACAGGTAACTAGGCCAGCCTTGACTCCTGACTTGCCCCGGAACTCTGGGACACATTTTTCGACCTGTCTCTGCCTTGGTTTTTCCATCTGTCAAATGGACACCTGGTCCCCTGGAATGTAACAGGAAACAGAACCATGGCAACAAGAATAGCAACAAATGCAGCGTGCTCATAATGCCACCTAGTCCAAAACAGCTGAGCTTTCTGTCACCTCCGCTGGGAGGCCCTCCCCTCCCCCCCAGACCAGGCCGGGCACCCTGACAGAGGAGCTCAAGCATCCTGCCGTGCCCCGTCTGCCACTCCTCATGTGCAGCTACACGTGCGAGTCCCCCACCTGAGGCACAGACCGTAAGCCGCACAGAGGTGGAGACTTGCCCCTTTCCTTCGACCTCTTTAGACCCAACACCCAGCATGATTGCTCGGCCCTCAGTGAGTGTTTGTTGAATGAATAAAGACGGAATGTATGCTTTAGGCATTTCAAGATTTCCCATGACGTTTTCATCGATAGCACGAACCCCACTGAAGAAGCAGGTGACCTGCTATTTCCGAAAGGCCACTGCTCTGCAGCTTTTAGGAAGCAGGTTCCGGGCTCTGTTGTTCAGGCAAGTTTCTTGTCCACTCTGAGTCTCGGTTTCCTGATCCAGTAAAGGGATGGGGTAGATTAGACACCCTGCCTGGTGATCTAAACCTGCCTGTTTATTAAAATGTCGATTTCTAGGGGCGCCTGGGTGGCTCAGTCGTTAAGCGTCTGCCTTCGGCTCAGGTCATGGTCCCAGGGTCCTGGGATCAAGCCCCGCATCAGGCTCCCTGCTCCGCGGGAAGCCTGCTTCTCCCTCTCCCGCTCCCGCTCCCCCTGCTTGTGTTCCCTCTCTCGCTGTGTCTCTCTCTGTCAAATAAATAAATAAAATCTTAAAAAAAAAAATGTCGATTTCTAGGCGAAGGTCGGTCCAAGGAGACTACAGTGTCAGGAGAGGAGTCTTCCTTTTCATAGGCCCGGTGATTCTGACCTTCACTAGCACAAGGCCACTTCGTAGAGACCCCCTCCAGCAACTTGAGGCTGGGGTTGCAGGTTCCTGTGTCTCCCCTGAAGCCTTTTCTCTCCCCAGCTCCTGGCCTTGGAGAAGAGAGGAAGGAAAAAGGGGTGGCTTTTCTGGATACCACAGGTGAGTCCCCGCCTCCGCTAGGGCTCTGTGGGCGGCCCCAGCTGCCAAAGGAGCTCCCCCACTTCTCCAGCTCCCCACTCTCAGTCCCCACAACCCGGTGTAGCATCTCCCCAGTCTTCAGATTGTGTGATCCACAGAACTCTCTGAGCATTAAGTAAGCGTTGACAAAGACCATGTTAGTAAAAATATAAAGAGGAACATTAACCACTATTTCTACCTTGTCAACTGCTGTGCTGGATGCTCAGGGAATCGCTAGGAGATGGGGGCGGATTTTAACGTAGCAGGGTCTCTCCACTCAGCTGGGAGAGGGACCAACTGGTTGGTTGATTTTGGTGGGGATGTCTGGGCCACATCGCAGACGGATTCAGCCTGAATCTGTGAGAGTGGAGCCCAAGCATCAGAATTGCAGAATTTTAAAAAAACTTTTTCCTAGGGATGCCAGTGCCCAGTGAGGGCATTGTCTGTTAGATAATGTAGTCATTTCCACATGCAGTGCTGTGGAGAACTCGTGCCATTTCCTTGGGCTTCCCATTGTACGTGAGCATTTCCCACCCATCCCTACTGTCTCCAAATGCAGAGATAAATTATTCACAGAGTAAGTGTTCCTGTCCTTCACGTGGACTTCTCTTATCTAACTTTTCATGATGTATGCCATCGGCTGTCACCTCCTGAGCGGGGGCACTGCCTTTTATCTTTGAATTCCTTGTGCCCAGCTGTGGGTATGAGTTCAGTAAACGTCCAAAGAGGAAGCAAGTCTGCCTGAAAGTCAGAAACAGGGAACTTCCGTTGTGCGAAAAGCCTGCCAGTGACATTATCTGCGAATCTCTTCCAGAGCTGCCTGCAAGGTCGGTCGATCTGTCCGCCCTGAACCTGACAGAGCTGGTGAACGGAATGCTGAATAGAGCTTTAAAAGGTACCTTTTTTTTTTTTTAATTTAAATTCAACTAGCCAACTTATCGTACATCATTAGCTTCAGGTGTAGTGTTCAATAAATTATCAGTTGTGTATAACACCCAGTGCTCATCACATCACGTGCCCTCCTTAACGCCCATCACCCAGTTACTCCATCCCCCCTCTCACCTCCCCTCCAGCAACCCTCAGTTTGTAAAAAGCACAATCCAGGCCCACTTCTGCTTTGTACCTGCTTCACTTCTGCAACTTGGGCAAGACAGGGCACGCCTCTGCGCCCCAGCTTCTCCATGTTCAGATGGAGAATGCGGTGTCCTGCCTGACACCTGATGAGACTGAAAACATCCAAAAGAAGTTAGAAGCTCATCAGCATCTGGAGAGCAAGCTGCATCCCAGACATGACCTATGTGCAGGCATTTCTGATCACAAGTACACTGTGGGAGAATCGTCAGGGCTTAGGGACAGATCAGGAAATAGAGTCAAGTTACATGTTCGTATGCAGTTTTTGGCTTGCTTTTATGTGATTTTATGTATTATTTCCAATGTGTGTTATTTTATTATTTATTTTTGTTATTTACTTTTATCATCTGTTCATTGTATTTTTAATTTCTATTATCTGTTTACTAATTGATGGTATTATGATTGTCGGGAGGCATTTGTCTGACGGCTTCTTTTATTTTAATATCCTTGGCAGATACCAAGTTCTTCTCCTTGCTGAGCATCACTTCCTACAGCTCCTTTGCCTTCCACAAGTTTTCTGTGACCATTTACAATAGTAAGTGCTGCCGGGCTCTTCTTGGTGGTGATGATGATGAGGGATGGGCCGGCAGGGCCAGGCTCAGTGTCACGACCGCCCTGTGGGTCGTGTCTCTTCACAGTTTCCAACCTGAAGACTGTGGACGCCACCAGATTTCCCACCCGGTACTGCTACTGCCTGAACAACAGGACCAATGACTTATCAGGTAGGTGGAGCTACCTGCCAGGCTTGCGGCCTTCCTGATTTTGCTTGTCCCCTTTCAGATAAGTTTGACTCGATTTTTTTTCTCCTTAGAGTGAAATAAGAAAAGACACTGGTATCTATTATGCTTAGCTGTGTATACATTCACTGTCACAGAAAGTTCTTTTCTTGGTTTATATCCTAGAGAAATAGTTACATCTGAACAAAGGGGCAAGAACAAAATGTTCATGCAGAGTTATTTTAACAGAAAACTCTGAGAACTAGGTAAATACCCATCATTAGGAAAATGGTTAAATAGTCTACACTTTGGGAAACAGCCATAGGCCATGCATAAATGAATGGATGTGGCCAGATTTGGCCCATGTCTGGAAACATTTCCATGCCATTTTTATTAAGAAAAGCAGAGTTACAAAATAATGTGTAGAATACACTGTCATTGGTGAAGAGATACATCTCTGGACACGTGTAGGTGTTTACCTCTGAAAGAAGATCATGATGCGTGCTTTGCAGTACACGAAGGTATCCCTGGATCTTTCTTTCAATGCTAGGATACTCTTGTATTACTCTTATAGTTAAAAATTAAAATTGTTTGATGTTCCTTCTATTTAGAAAATCCTGAAAAGTAAAACTGAAAGTTAATATCTCACCGCTAATCCACCCATTCAGTGGTTCTTAATTGATCACATACCATTAGCCAGACTCTCTTCTAGGTGTGGGGGTACCACACTGGGCAAAGTGGATACACACACTCTGCTCTCTTGGGCGAGATTCTATAGGAAGGGACAGAGAGTCAAAAAATGCATGGTATGTTGGCTACTAACATGACCATGAGAACAATAAAGCAGCGGGAAGGGTGAAGAGGGAAGTGTGGCCGGCATAGCTGCTGTATATAGTGGTGGTCAGGGAAGTCTTCTCTAATGAGGCAGGAAGTGGAGAGACAGCCCTGTGGTACCCAGGGACAGAGTGTTCCAGACAAAAGCCCAGGCAGCAGGGTAAGGATGAGAGAGGCCAGCATGGCTGGAGCAGGCGAGCCAGGGCAGATGGTCATGGGAAATGAGCTCAGAGCTGGGGGGGCAAAGCAGGGAGGGTGTTGAGGATCAAGTAGAAGTTTATAGTCCACAGCAAGGATTTTGATTTTCACATTGAATGAGAAGGAAGCCAAGGTGATTGTCCACACAGAGTAATATGATCTAACTTACATTTTAAGAGGATCTCTTTGGCTTTTCATAAAAAAAAAAAATAGATTGTAAGAGAAGTAAGGCGTGAAAGTGGAAAAACCTCCTGGTCTTTTTCTCACTTGACCCAACCTTAAAAATATTTTCCAGGATATTACAAACTGCAAACATTTGTAGTGACTACATAACCTGTAAAAGTCAGCATTTTCTTAGCCATATACTGTTAACTTTTGGGTGGATTCTAGGTTTTTCTTAACCTAAAAAAAATCCTGTATTGGACATCTTGGTGCATAAAGCTTTTTCCCCTTTTCCAGATTACTCTCAAAGGACAGATTCCTTGAAGTAGAATTTCTGGAACAAATATTGTGAACGTTTTAAAGAGAGTAGTTAGTAATGTTTAATGAGTACTGTGTGCCAGGCCCTGCAGCAAGTGCTTCACAGCCATTATCTTGTTTAACTGGCCCTTCAAATCTTATCAACAAATTACACGTGGGAGGACAAATGTCGTCCATAACCACAGCTTCCTCAGCCTCTCATTAGCCCCTGCTGGGGGCCCAGTTTAGTGTAGGCACTGAGTCCCTGCCCTGATTGTAAAAAGTGGAGTCACATCTGCAGGGAAAGAGTTTCTAATTCCCCTCAGTGAACCAAAGCTTATTTCCGCACACTTGAAACAATTATTTGAAAAGAATTGATCCATAGATCATTACCACTGATAAAATAGCATGCTGCTCCTCCGGTAAGCCACAGCAGTTTTTTATGAGGTTTTACAATGGACACATCACAATGTGCTGGTGTCCACTCCCCTCAGATCATTGCCCTGAGAGGCTATATGCAGGCTAGCATCTTGCCATTGCTCAGTCCCTGGGGGAAGATGTCTTTGTGGGTACTCTTCAGACCTGGACCATTTTCACTTGAATATTCTCAACTCTGACTTAAAGCCCCCCCTTGTGAGGGTGTATTTGCATATTTTTTCTTTTTCTGAATGAAAATAGCTTAATTTTTCTTGATTTTAAAAAATAACGTATTACAATGTCAAAATGCCATACAACAGGGACAGTATAATAAAAAAATCAGAAATACCTGAAATCCCAACATCCATAGGTAATCACATCACCCAAGGCAGTCTAAGCCACCTCTCTTAATCTACCCACGTAAACCATCTGTCAACTAGTTATCTAACCGACCTGTCTACCGTCCCGCCTACACCATCCATCTGCCCATCTATCTACCCACCCTACTCTGTATTCTCTATATTATTGGAATACAAACCAGGCTATTATGACAAAGGACCCCAAAATAAGGTGCCTAGCAGAGGGTAGAAGGTAATAGCTTTCGTGTGTGACCATCTTGGTAAACAGACCAGAGCTGCTCTATTTGATGCTTTAGGGAGCCCAGGCTCCTTCTAGGTTGTTGTTCTGCCTCCCATAATGCATTGCCCTTGTTCTCATAATCCAGGATGATTTGCCACCTCATCCGCATTCCAGCCACGTGGAAGAGGAGAAAGGAACTGATGATACTCCCACTCACTATATAAACACAGTCTGGAAACCTTCCACATGGCTTCTTCTCATACTTTATCACCCAGAATTTAGTCATACGGCTGCACCCAACTGCAAACAGGCTCAAAAATGTAGTTTTATGTTAAACCACCATATGCCCAACTAAAATTTCATGTTCTCTTACTAAAGGACGGTGGGAGAAGAGATATTGAGAGACAGCCAGCCCTATCTACCACCTTTTCCATACAGCCTTACAATCCACCTTTAAACTAATCAGTACATCTTAAAAGCCATTCTATTCCAGTGAATATCAATATGTCTCATCCTTCATATGAATTCATAGTATTCATTGAAAGAATGTACCATAATGTATTTAATTTGTCTCTTCTTGATGGAACCTTAGTTTATCCCCAGTGTTGTTATAATTATAAACAATGCTATGATGAATACCTGTGTACTTAGAGTACTTGGAGTACTTGCCTAATTATGCTGTAGGATACAGTCCTTGAAATGGAATTGTCTGACAGGGAAACAATTTTGTGGTGATTCAAATTGCTAAAATTTCCTCTAAGACATCTTGCGTAAGTTTACACTTCTACCAATAATGTTTGAGAGCACATGTTTTTCCACACCCTTGCGAACACCAAATACTACGACACATTCTTAAATCATTATCAACTGGATAGGCAAAAAGGCTTTTCCCCCTATTTTCTATGTATATATAAAAGTAGTCAGAAATCACTCATCTATAGGTATTGCTATTAAATTAGATTCAAATTTTCATCAAAACAAAGAACGTCTCTGAGGTAATGATAGCTGGTTCTCTTCCAAGCCTCACAGAGAGATTGTAAAAGCCATTCTGAAGGGAGAGTTCACACAGTGTGTTGAGTAAGACGTTGCTTGAGCAGCAGCGGGAACATTGGGAAGAGTGGGAGCTTTGGCGCAATGCAGACCTCAGTTCAAATTCAAGCTCCGCCACATCCTCTGGGACCTTGGGAAAGTTCCATCATCTCTCAGAAACTTGGGCACAACCTGGACTCCATCTTTGTGTCCTGCCTCCAGAGCCACGCTGTTGGCTTCTGTGCAGTGTTAGTAGCAGATTACAGTTTACTGGTCTGCTTACGAGTCTCTCTCTCTCCCACTAATCTCAGCTTCTCCTGGGCAGAGATGGTGTCTCACACAAACCTTCAGTACCCGAGCAGGTGTCTGGTGCCCTGCAAACACTCAGTGAATGTTTATTAGATAAATGAATTAAAGAACAAAAAAGACATTTGAGAAGCAGGAAAAAAATAGATGGAAGAAATAATGAAATACTACCCTTCCTCAGTTTCCACAGTGTGACCAAGGACAGACTGGTCTAAATAGACATGGAAAGGAAGACACCCAAGTTGACGTTACTTCTGCATGGCCAGGTGTCCACATCTGCACTGGTGTCCTACCACACCTCTCCTCCTGGAGATTGACCACGTGTCCACGCAGTATGATAAAATCGCACCATGGCTCTGGTTCACAGAGAGTAGTGTCGACCTCCTGTTGGCCTCACATGCTGAACATTCCATTTGTTGTCCCATGACATTTTCCTGCCTCTCTGGGCTCTGCATTTTCAGTCCTCTGTGTTCTATATTTTCAAATCAGCTTGCCCCCCACCCAAGCTCATAATCTCATTGAGTAAAAGAAGTGTTCTTACAAAGCACAAAAGGAAATTATCCAGATGACACCAGAAGCTTCTTCTTACTGTTTGGGGCCCCTAGAATTCATATCCTTGTTCTGTAAGCCAAAAACCTGTTGGATCCTGGAAAACCATGAATGAACAGCAGAGGAGGCAGCAGCTCTTTGCCTGGAGGTACATTGGGAGCTTTCATTGGTTGATGGCGCCCACCATGTCAAGCAATGGCCCTTATTCAAACTCTGTTCAGAGAGAAAGTTCACAAAGATCTGATAGCCTGAAATGTGAAATTCTCCCAATCTCCTCCCATTAGCCTTCCTAACAAGGGAGACAAGAGCAGGGGTTCCTGGTTCTGTTTTGTGTAGGGTTCTAGTCTCTTCATAACCCACCACTAAGGTTGACATCACATTTTGAAAATCCAAAACTATGTAAATGCAGGTTGCAAAACTGTGAGGCTGCTTCCTGTCAGATGGACTTGGTATTCTAAAGCAATTAGAGGAGATAACAGGGGACAACAAATGAGAAAAACCATTATTCAGTAATGTGGCTTTTCACAACCATTTGGAATTGGCACAGAGGGATTTGGAGGGAGAGGGCAATGGCAGGAGGAAGGAGACTGTGATGGTGGATCCAGAAGTTTTCTCCCTGCCTGGAAATAAGACATCTTTATAATTAGTAAGAGTTCCCTGTATGATCATTAACATTCCTCAACACACTGAATGAAATTAAACGTATGAAATCTGCTCTGAAAAGTCCAAATACACAATACGTTTTTCCCTCAAGTTTCTGGATCCGAAATTTAAATCTCCTCAATTCTTCTTGCAGATTTCACAGCCCTACTGGTGGACGTCATCGGAAATTCTACCAGCTACCTCACAGAGATTTTTAAGTCAACTTCCATCCTCTCAGGTGTGTTCATCCTGAAAATGCGTGGGAAATTGGGGATTTGGCAAATTTGCAAAATGTAATCAAAATCAAAATATTTGCAAAATGTAATCAAAATATAATCAAAGTGAATTTGCATCCACCATGGGTATATAATCAAAGTTAGTGGACCCCCCCCTCACCCCAAGCCTTGCCACAGGCAGTCTGCCAGGAACCTCTGTGTAAGTTTTTTTTTAGACAATCCGTGTTGTCCAGTTTCAACCGCTAGTATTTGAAGGCACCATCTTCCAATCAGAGCTATTCCTGGTATCTAAAAAGTTGGAGGAAGAATCCAAGGCTCAGAATTAGGGGAAACTAGGCAGAATCAAGAAAACAGCTTCTTCTAGATAGCTCTACTCCCATTTTAAAGATGAGAAACCGAGATTTGGAGAGGTTGCCTCTTTTGCTCATGAGTTCAGAATTTACTATCAGATCTATATGCAGCCCAAGCCCATGTCGGACACACTGTTGGGAAAGATCTGCCTCATTCACAGGGTGGCTTCATATAACCCCAAGCAAGTTGCCTTCCCCCAGTGACCCGCTTTGCAAAGCACAGATCTAGTCAATCGCCCACACATGGCCTCATCAGAAGGCCAGTGCATTGTACCATGGAGCAACTACTGTATGAGAAACAGGGAAGGGCGAAAGAGAAATAGTAGTAGATACCATCAGCTGCCAGGGACTCTTCCAGGGGCTGTCCATGTAATCCCCCATTGGATCCTCACTATAACCTTGTGGAGTAATTACATATTTATCCCCATGTTACAGGTAAGGAAACCATGGCACAGAGAGGTCAAGTAACTTGCCCAAGGTTATTCTGCAGAAATGGCATTCTAACCCAGGTGATCTGATTCTAAAGTCCATGCTTTTGCTCACTCTGCTAATATATATAATGACAGGACCACATTCATAGTGATAATTATTATTATTATGACTATTTACTGAGTTCTTCTATCTTCCAGGCACCATACACATTATCTCATTGGGTCATCATAACCATCTTTTGAAGGACGTGCAAGCAAATGTCCACATTGCTCTTGGCAGCGTATTTTTTTTTTAATTTTTTTTGTGGGGGAGGGGGAAAGCATGGTGCAAGCAGAAGGGGAGAGACAGAAGGAGAGGGAGAGAGAGAATCTCAAGTATGCTCCATGCTCAACATAGAGCTGGATGTGGAGCTCGATCTCATGACCCTGAGATCACAACATGAGCCAAAACCAAGAGTCGGAGGCTTAACCCCGCTTTGGGCAGCATCTTAAGGGACAAGTACACTTAGAAATTCATTCATTTTCAGACTTTTGCAGGTCTAACAGGGCATCTATACCATACGTGATAAAACATAACCAGCAGCATCCAGGGCAGCATACCGTAATCAAACACACTCACATTCATTTAGCAACATGGCCCTTTACACTAAACAAAACAGATAAAGACGGTCAATAGCCTCATATCTCTCAAGTCAGGTTTGCCACCAAATAAGTTTTGGTACCAAACTCACACAAAACCTTCCATCTTACAGTGATTTCAGGATTTGGAAATCTCAAATGAGGGACTGTGGAATTCGAATGTTCGCCATTTTAAAGATGGGTAGACTGAGTCCTAGAGACATCAAGCAGTTCACTCATAGCCACATAGCTGGTAAATGGCAGAGCTGATGTTGTAATACTGGCAGCTGACCCCAGAGGCTGTGCCCTTCGCCATTACATTATACTGTATCCCTCGCCACCCGCCCCCAAAAAAACCCCCAGAAAATCAGGGCTGCCTTAAAAGGAAGGAGTTGGCCTTATTTTCCTGTAACATCCTGAGCTAGGGATTTCTAGCTTGATTTTCATTTCAACCAAAGACCTACGGCTTCAGACACATTGCTAAGTTTTGTGTACTGGTTTGTCTTACAGTGAGTCAAACGAACGAATCTGACTGCATCTTCATCTGTGTGATGACAGGAAAGTCAGGTGAATCGTCAGCCATTCTTTAACAAGCTCTCTGAGCTGAGAATTAAACAGAACCCTCTAGCAGGTGAGCCCAAGATTCGAGCCCGTTTGTGTGGTTTTTGCAGGAAGGAATCTTTCTGACTTCTGGGAGATGGCGGAGAAATCTCCTGTCATCAACTACACATTCACCAGCAGCATGTCTGGTGTTCTGGGTGAGTGTAAACTCCTCACACTCCTACTATAGTCTCCAACCCAGGCTCCCAGCTCGCAAACTGAAGACCGAATGCTGCCCTCAGGTGTTTTATTTAGCTACCCTGTGTTAAAATCAAAGGATTTCACCATTAGAGAAAATTAATCTCTGGATTCTCTTACAAGCAAAGATCTGGTAACTCAACTGGAGTTGAGTAGGCACTGTCGCCATCCCTCCCACTAGGAGAGACACCTCCCTCCTCCTTTCCATAGCCCTCTCTGCTCCCTATCTCCTGGCACTTTTTTCTCATATTAACTACCTGGCTTTTGTAGGTAATTGAATTAGTGACCCTGTTGTAGACATTGTCACCCTATAATACCCAGCCCCTACCCAACCATCCTTTACCCCTCCGCACACACTCCTACCCATCTGCTTGCCTTTTCCCTGGCACGAGTGGCATTTTTAGAACCACCTTTGAGCCCACTTTCGCCCCTACACTTAACTGTCAGTTTTAGCTGAATTAAGTTTCTAGAATCTGGCTGGTCCTCCAAGATTATCTGCTGCTGCTGTGATTAACTTTAGTTCCAGTCCTTGTCATCTATTTTTGACCTGAGATAGCCTCTGAACTAGTCTTCCTTGACCCAGTTTCATATGTCTTTAAAATATCAATCCATTGCTGTAGGAGCAATAGTCTTAAAATACAATGGGGTTTTGTCTCCTCACTACAGGAGCAGAGGGTCCAAAGCCTTTAGCCTGGAGTATACATTGCTCTGTCAGCATGCCCAACCTCATCTGCTCTCTTTCCTTGAATCTTCTGCTCAAATGACACTGAAGCTCCTGCCTCTTCTTGCAGATGGCATCTCTCTGTATGCCCGTGCCACTTTGCTCGCCTAGAACTTCTTCCCTACTTTTCCATATTTCAGAGCCCCAGTTTGTCTGTCAATCACCAGCTCAGCGGCTGCCTCCTCTTTCCTAAAAATCCCCCAATCAAAATATGTCTTCTGTCTTCTACCACTCTATAACACGACACTCGTCCATCATTTGGACTCGGTGTTACTCCAGGTTGGAACACACGTGACTTGCCATGTATCTCCTCACTGAATGGTCTTTGAAGGCAGACACCGAAACTCCTTCAGCCCCACAATCCGCTTCCCCCGTTGTCTGCATGGTACCATGTGCATAGTAGGTTCTTCATCAGTGTTTCTTGGAGTAAGATGAAATTTACAATAAAGCTCCAGTTCCACTTCAGTGGGCTGCCTTGATTTGCGTTTATTGCAGTTATGTTTGTTTATCTTAGTTATGCTGAGGAAGGAACCTCAACTTGTGTCGAATGAGGCTTCTTGATAAGGAGATGAAATGGGCATTTGGTGGGTTCCCTTCACCTACTTGATTCTAAGGACAGATCCGAGGATTGAGTCAGTTTCAATTCTTTAGAGAGTCCTCCCATGACCTTCCCAGACCAGTCTCAATTGTAGCTCCCATTTGTGCTCCTTTATGAAGTACAAATGCTTGGGAAGAAAGAACATGTTTACAAGTGGACGCATATTTGTAAGGTTGATGTGTTTGATAGCCAGTCACCTGGCTGAGTGATGGTTTGATTGGGAGGCACTTAGCCCTATGTCCAATTGATCTGGAAACAAGCACCAGGCCTGTGGTGCGTGTGGGTATTACTGATCCCAGAAGTGAAGCAGGAGAGAAGAGATGAGCCTGCAAGACCACGACTTACTGTTGTACAGGATGTGCCCTGCACAGTGACCTGCCAAAGGGGCAAGTGGGGGCTGGAGTCCACCAGTCTGCAGGCCGGCCTTAGTTAACCCAGAAGAAGGGACCCATGGGCTCCTGGGAGCCTGTCATCCTAACATGCAGCGCCCAGCACTAAAGGCTGCCCAAAGGGAGTTAGAAACTCAAATGAACACTCGAGCCCCTTCCTCTCTGTCTTCATGGAGCATCCAAGGGCACTGGCTAGATCTCCCTCCAAACTGAGCCTTCCTGCTATCTCGGTGGGAACCCGTCTTTCAAGCAGCTTCTGCCCAGCAGCTTCTGATGCCCCCAAATTCTGCCTCTGGTCTCTAGCCGCACACACAGGACACATGGAGCAAACCCTGTCCCCCTTCTATGAAAAAGTGCCATCAAAGGGCTGAGGGCTGTGAGGTGGGCGAAGGACTCGGACGGATTCGGTTTCTGTCAGGAAACATGTCGAATGTCTGATACTTTGCGGTCTGACAGCTTTGCATTCTGTTCACAGTGCTTCTCTGCACAGTATTTCTGGAAATTGATATTTGAGCTTCCTTTGCCATTCCAAAAGAAACGTTCCTCTTTGGTGACATATGGTATTGTTCCAAGTAAGATTTGAATCTCTGCGTTCAGTACGTTTGCTGTCCAACAATCTTTCAGTGGCTTGACAGTTTTGTGCTCAAAGTGTCAAGCATATAAAAGCTGCCGTTGACCGTCTCCCTGAATGTACAGCTCCCAGGGGCACGGCCGTGACTTCAAAGCTTACACCCACGAGCCAGCAGACACTACAGGGGACAAGCCGCCTGCACGGAGCTCAGAGCACCAGGGCACCTGCTCCTAGAACCTCTCCCTGGACAGAGACAACGTCCCCTGCAGATGGACAACAGGCCGTGAGCACAGACAGGCTTCTGGAGCTCCACGCCAGGGCCACGGCCATGGCCACGCAGGGCAGTGCCCCCCGCACCCTCCCAGCCTTGGGTAAGAAGCTTTCTCGCCCTTTCCCCTCCTGTCCTGTTCCCCCTAGGCTCACATAAATAAGTGAAATCCTTCCTTTATCCCTTCTCCACTGACCCCTTTCTTCTTCAGCACCCCTGAAATAAGAGATTGACATGAGCCAGGGTGAGTTCGTTACAGACAAAGGCAGTGAGCATCATTGGCATAAGGTCCTGCCAACGTTTATTTGTACGACTTTTTTATTTTGAAATAGTTTAAGACTCACAAGACATGGCATGAAATAGTACAGAAAGCTCCCTGATTCCCTTCGCCCAGCACCGCCCAATAAGAATGTCTTACATAAGTGAAGTGTACTGTACCATGATGTATTTTTATTTCAGCAAAGCATTTTAGCAATGTCTCTCCTGAAATGAACACTATGTGGCGGAATGAGGTCAACATTTTATGGCAGGGTTAGGTGAATTTGTAGTTGGCTGGGTAATGATGCCAAGAGTATGTTAATGACTTGAAGCCAGCATGGAAAACCGCCACACGTGGTGGGTCAGCCAGCAAGTTCCTCCTTCCCCACCACCTTCGTGGACACCATCAGTAGTGCTGTCACAGAAGATGAAAAGACATGCTCATGCTCTTTGGAAATAAGATATAACGGAGACAACGCTTTCATTAAAAGCCAATACTGTCTCAGTGAGTTATGACAAGGGGCGAGAGTCATAGAATTCATTCATTCATTCATTCACTTATTCATTCACTTGTCAAGACATGTATTTAATACCAGACTCCAGACTAGCTGCCAAAAGCACAGTTCCCTCAATGTTCCCTTTCATTCTTGAGTGTGAAGACCAGGGAGGGAGACACGGGCAAGTCAACTGATAGTTACGGTCTAGCCTACAAAGAGCTCTTGTCCTGGAGAGCCCAGCAAGGGGGCTTCCTGGAGGAGGTGAGAACTGATGGGAGTCAGGCAGGCAGGAAAACAAAAATGAGGAAAAGCAATCAACGTCACTAACCAGAAAGTCGTTAGTACACTAGCCGGTATCGTGATACTTCCACATAATTAGAAAGCTTCCCAGAATAATATGAAAAAAAAAAAAAAAGATGCGCTTGTTAGTAGCAAGAAAAATCATAGAATACTTAGCTATAAGCCTAGAAGGAAAAGTGCTGGGTTTTATATAAGAAAAACAATAAAACTTTAGTGAGAGTAATAAAGGCATATTTAAATAAATAAAGTGATACACCACATTCTGGATGAGAAATTTGAATATTTTAAAGATGGCAATCATTCCCAACTTAACTTACAGATTTAAAATTTTCCAAGGGGGTTAGTTTTAAAGACTTGAAAAAAATTTATTTTCATGCCTACCATGGAAATGAATGAGAGAACCTATAGAATCGTTTGAAAGACCAGTGAGGGAAGATTGGTCTTTGTCACAACGCTGTGACATTGCATTATTCTTGTTAGCATTATGATCATCCCCATTTTAATGATAAAGCTAAAAAAAGTGAAGTCACTTGCCCCTAAAGTCACAACATGAGGGGAGGCGGGAGCAGGTCCCCCCCCACCCCGGTCTCCTCACCTCAAACCCTGAAACCTTTTCACTGGGTCATGCCATGAGAAATGTGCTCTGAACTTTGAGAGACCCCGCTGTTTGGATGTCCAAGGAATTTGGAGGTTTCTTTTTTAAAATTAGTAGTTAGGAAAATAAAGGTCACTTTGGTCCATTTATTCCAGTTCAAGGTAGAGCTTAGGTCCCTGAGTTACCCGTTTTATGCGTAAACACTGCATTTGCCCTTTGATAACATTTCAGTGTTTTGGTAATTTTATATCCGAATCAAAACGGTCAAGAATGTAAGTGGCCTGTTACTGTCCCATGTGCAGCTACCAGGAGGGTAGCCAGGACCCCATGGGCTACGACCGGCAGTCAGGCATGGACTCCCACACTACCCATGCCCTGGGCACCTGCAGGGCCTCCCTGGGAAACACTGTCTTCCACACCATCATCTCCTTCAGAGGCCACCGCCACGAGGAGCCTGTCCAGGCCTCCAGCTAGGACAGCGGTCACACGCAGTAGCTCCTCCCAGGGCCACCCAACCTCAGGTAAGAGAGGTTGCTCGCTCCCACCTCCCCCATTTCTAAACTAAATTTAGCACTGTCTTTAAAACATTTTCTAAAATTTTGAAATATAATGCACAGAAAAGTAATAAAACCTAAGTTGGCATCATAATTAATAATCATAAAGTGAACTCTCTCTTCCTTTTCTTTACACCAACCCTTTTCTTCCCACCTTGAATGAATGAATGAATGAATGAATGAAAACTCCCTCTTTGCAGGAATCTTCCACACCCATTCTCTTTTTTGTGCCCAATTTAGAAATTTCTGATTTCTTTTTTTTAATATATTTTTTAAAGATTTTATTTACTTTTTAGAGAGAGACAAGAGAGAGAGAGCCTGAGGAGGGGGAGGGCAGAGGGAGAAGCAGGCTCCCCACTGAGTATGGAGTCTGATGGAGTCTGATGCGGGGCTGGATTCCAGGACCCTGGAATTAGGACCTGAGCTGAAGGCAGATGCTTAACTGACTGAGTCACCCAGGCGCCCGAGAAATTTCCAATTTCTTCTTTTCTCTTTTTCACTGTCCATGAAACAAGTGACCACTAGGAGCCAATACTGTTTCCTCCAGACTGCCTTTTTGGTGTAGTATTAGTACGTATTAATGTTATTACATTAGTTACATATACACGACGTATATACAATGTAATGTAGCATACTTGTTAATTACATACAAAAATGATGCGTACATTAATATGTAATCATGTACTGTCAGGAAAGCCTGAGTTATAAAAAGCAAGGAAAAAATAGTCAAATGTGATCCCAATTCTATGTTTCTATGTGTATTTACGTGTGTGTAATAAACATACACAGAAAATAGAAAGTAAAACGAAGTAAGACTGAAAAGAAGTTCACAACATATTTTTTTTTAAGATTTTATTTATTCATGAGAGACGGAGAGAGAGAGGGAGAGAGAGACAGAGAAGCAGAGGGAGAAGCAGGCTCCCAAGGAGCAGGGAGCCCGATGTGGGACTCGATCCCAGGACCCTGGGATCATGACCTGAGCCAAAGACAGATGCCTAACCATCTGAGCCACCCAGGCGCCCAGAAGTTCACAACATATTAACCTTGACTACATCTGGGAAGTAGATATGATTTTATTTTTCTTCACTCCACTGTCATGAACTTTCTACCCATATAATCAAACAAAAAAGTTTTATTGCATTTGTTTTTAAAATCATTTCCTCTGGTACCTGCCTCTGGAGGCCCTTCTTCCAAGCTCACCAGAGTCGGTAGATCATAAGACTACTTATTGTCCATTAACTTGACCTTCCTCCCTCTGGGCCATGCTCTCCTCAAGGGCCTGAGTCTTTAGTCTCCTGTTCCATGCAACATAGCAGGCATTCAGGAAATGTTTGCTGAACCACCTAAATTTCTTAAGAAACAGAGGGTATAAATGCAAAGTCTTAACTTTAGGCTCAAAATCAATTGCACCAACAGATCTGGGAATGAAATTTTGACAGCTGTAATCAGAGAACAATCTCACATGATTGCATAGGAAAAATAGGAGCTAACACATTTGGGTTTGGCTAACAGGACCTCAGCAGACAGCACAGCCCTGAGGCTATGCACTGTGGTCTTTCTTCGAGACACAGCAGGGTTGAAATCCTGACTCACCGATGCTGTTTGTCCTTAGGCAGTTCTCGCTCTCTCTCTCTCTCTTTTTTTTTTTACTTTTTCAAAACCCAGTTTTTTATTTTTTTGTTTGTTTTGTTTTGTTTGCTATTATATGTTAATCACCATACATCACATCATTAGTTTTTGATGTAGGGTTCCATGATTCATTGTTTGTGCATAACACCCAGTGCCCCATGCAGGACGTGCCCTCTTTAATGCCCATCACCAGGCTAACCCCCCACCCCCCTCCCCTCTAGAACCCTCAGTTTGTTTCTCAGAGTCCATCGTCTCTCATGGTTCTCTCCCCTCCGATTTCCCCACCCCTTCATTCTTCCCCTCATGCTATCTTCTTCTTCTTCTTCTTCTTCTTCTTTTTTAACATATAATGTATTATTTGTTTCAGAGAAACAGGTCTGTGATTCAACAGTCTTGCACAATTCACAGCGCTCACCATAGCACATACCCTCCCCAATGTCTATCACCCAGCCACCCCATCCCTCCCACCCCCACCACTCCAGCAACCCTCAGTTTGTTTCCTGAGATTAAGAATTCCTCATATCAGTGAGGTCATATGATACATGTCTTTCTCTGATTGACTTATTTCACTCAGCATAACACCCTCCAGTTCCATCCACATCATTGCAGATGGCAAGATCTCATTCCTTTTGATGGCTGCATAATATTCCATTGTATATATATACCACATCTTCTTCATCCATTCATCTGTCGATGGACATCTCGGCTCTTTCCACAGTTTGGCTATTGTGGACATTGCTGCTATAAACATCGGGGTGCACATACCCCTTCGGATCCCTACATTTGTGTCTTTGGGGTAAATACCCAGCAGAGCAATTGCTGGTTCATATGGTAGCTCTATTTTCAACTTTTTGAGGAACCTCCATACTGTCTTCCAGGCAGTTCTCTTGATCTCTCCGAGTCCTGGCTTTTTCATCTTCAAAAACAGGGGAGGTGATACCTACTCTCAGAGTGGCTGTGAGGATTGAATCAGGTGGCTTCGATAAGGTGTTCAGCTCCGCACCTAGCACCTGGGAAACACTCAGTCCATGGCAACGCCTACTAACGCGTCCCACTGTGCCCACAGCGCAGCATGGTGGCCAGCTCCCAGAGACACACTTCGCAAGGGCAGTGGCAAAACAGGACACTACCAGAGGAGAGCATGTGTCTGCTTTTGCCCTAGGTCCCTTTCTGCTCGAAGCATCTGTCATTACGCAGTCATTTAGTTAAACTGTAAATAGCAACCACAGACAAGTAAACTCTGTGTATGGGCTATGGTTAAAGCTGCTCAGTTTCTAGAACGATATTGAAACACATCCAGGTAGCAAGCATCAGCTGACACCTTCTGTGTACAGGGGGCTTAAGTCCTGTGCCCGAAGAGGAATCCAAAAAAGATGTCAATCCCCTCCACCCCGAAGAAAATGGCAAGATTGCCCTGCGGAGGGATGTCATAGTTGTCTGTACATGTGTGATGTTGCCCAGCTCGGGTGCGAATGCAGTGGTCCGCTTGGAGCAGAAGCGGGGTCTAATGTGACGCTGCCACATGCACGGCCCTAGCAGGGGAGCATAAATAACAAGCAGCTGGCTTCCTCCTCCACCTCACCCCTCCAAGTCAACCCCAAGAGTCCCACCATCCAGCCACAGCAAACACCTACCATTCATTTGGGGCTTTGCTTATGCTCTTTGCTCTGCCTGGAAGCCCGTTCTCCTCGCTAACCGCCATATTTCTTGCGTCTCCGAGAAGATGTCATCTGTCCCCAGCCTCCATCCTCTGCTCACGTGCAGGTCAGCCTCACCCCTTTTCTCCCACTTCACCACACAAGTGAAACGACGTGTCACATCTCCCTCTCCCTCAGCCCCTATAAGGAGGCTGCTTTGCCGGTTTTGCCAGGGACCAGGAGCCTGACAGCAAAGGATCATGTCCTGAAGTGGTCCTTAAACCAGGACTTTATGAACGTGATCAAAAGAATTGCTGAGATGAGCCCATACTCTATCATGAAGATGACAGTTTATAAGGGTGGGGATGGAGTGAGTGTGTACACTGACTCAGATGAGTGAAAAGCATCATTTTCTTCACCCAGGAGCAGCCACGCTCACACCCTGCCTGCGCCACGCCATGCCTCTCCCATGCATTTCGTCATTTCATACTAGTATTAGCTGGTTTCCAGTTGCATCTGACACAATGTATCACAGCTACCCCCAGGACTTGCCCATTTCCTATGCTACCCTGGACGAGCCTCCACTGCAGGTTCTATCTCTTACTCAGTTCTGCATCCTCACCGCCCTGCGGGAACCGCCCTGCCGGGTACCGGGCTTAATAACCACCAATGGTTGACTAGGGCAGGACTGGTGGCGTGGGCTTCTTCTCCCCCATCGGGCACCCCAAGAAAAAACCCAGGCTCACCCTTCCCTCATTTCATCCCAGGAACTTCTACCCATGGCACACAGACCCCGAGTCCAACCAAGGCACTGGCCCCGAAATATCCACAGAAAGGTAAGACCGTGCAGCTGGGAAGAAGACAAACCTGATACCACATGGATTTGAGGTTGGGGCTCAGTGGGGGACAGGGGTGCCAGTAGGCTGACTAAGCTGGGCATTGTATTTCATTGGTTCGAGCAGGAAAAGAAGCAGAACTAGTTTACAAGGCTTGCTGTATTGTTAAATTTGCATAAAGTTCTCCCTCTTTCTTGGCTACAATTCCCTATAGATTTTGAGAACGCTTTATCCTTAAGATGCTCTTATTCCTTAGTCATGTGTATCACCCAAGACCAATTCATGTTGACTTTTGCATGGCCATTCTTGCCCCTTGCAGGTGACCTTCCTGCGGCATGGCCATTTACCCCTAGAGAAGAGCCAGCCCTGGTCCCAGGACCCCACCAAGTCTCAAGTACGTACTGGCAGCCTGCTAATCTGTTGCTCCTGCTTGTTTGGAACGAGGTTGTGTCGTTCAATAAAAAGAGTTTTGTTTGATAAATATAGATTCAGACTGCTGGGATTAAATCCTAGCTCTACCATTTACCAGGGAGGGGGTCTCTGGCACTCGGCTTCGGGAATTCAGCTTCCTTGACTGGGAAGCAAGAATAATAACAATTATTGTGGGCACTAAAACTGTCTTTATTCCCCCACGGCTTTGTATTGAGTAAGATAATGTGTGTGGAAGTGATTTGGAACTACAGAGCTCCACATAATTTAATTCAATCAACTTTTATCGAGTGAACACCTATTGAGCAAGGCACCATGCGCTTCGCAAACAGAAGCTATTCTTTTCATGAGCCTGTTGTCAGCAGAGGCAGCAGAAGGAGGAACGGGTGACTCCAAAACTCAACCCCCATTCACTGGGTGCAGTTTACTTTTGTTGCATTTTATTTATTATTTTTAAAGATTGCATTTATTTATTTGAGAAAGAAAGAGAGCACACATGCACATGAGCCAGGGAGAGGGGTGGAGGGAGAGGGAGAAGCAGACTCCCTGCTGAGCAGGGAGCCCATCTCAGGGCTTGATCCCAGGACCCCAGGATCACGACCTGAGCCAGAGGCAGATGCTTAACTGACTGAACCACCCAGGCGCCCCCTACTTCTGTTGCATTTTAAAGGACACCATGCCTTCCCATCCCTGACACTTAATTTCTATGGAATTCTAGAGGAAACCATGTCCTGGGTTTATGGCTGGGTTTTTGAGACTCCTCACAGAGGCTCAGCACTTCAGTTTCTGGAGTTCATGCTACATTTTTCTTCTTTTCTGTTCCAGAAGACAGAGATTGATACAAAATGAGTCCTTCAAAGCTGGTTGAGTCCTCAGGCCCCTCCCACTCCTGGATGCCCTTCTATGCTCATTTCCTGAATGTTCCTGGACTATCCAGGCATATGTCAGCAGGACATTATTAAATTCCTGGAGACTACACAATCTCTTTTTTCATACACTGTAGATCTGCCTCAGCCCCACTCCCAACCTGCAGTGAATGGGCCTTTCAGACACAAAGCCATGATTATACTGCTGAAAGAAATTATAGCCATTTTTCCCCCCAGAGGTTCTAAAGAAACACACTGGTGGTACACATGGGGGCAGTTGTCAGACTGAGTTTTGGAAAACAAGTTGACTATATATCTTTATCTATATCTACTTATATAGCTCTATTACCTATTTATCTCTCTCTCTCTTTTCCGTCCATCCATCCATCCATCCAATGAGAAATATAAGTGTAAAATAAAGGGGTTTTGACGACTTCTGGCAAATGATTCTTCCCATTCACAAAAAAAAAAAAAATCACGCCACAAAGTCCTTTGAGACTGATTCACTCACCCACTCAGTGAATATTTATTGAGCTCCTACTGTTTCCCAGGCACTGTGCTAAGCCTATTTTTACTCTTTCTTTGCAATAATTCTACAAGGTAATGTAATGTTATTTTCATTAAGCCATTTCAGTGAGCACTACATTTAAAAAGTAACTAAATTTTGAACCTACATTTGTCTAATTCCAAAGCCTGTGCTCATTCCACCCTTCATGTTATCTCTCCCAAGATTCTCCATTTGTACAAAAAATTGCACTTTGAGGAAGAAATTGGTAAGGTTCTTAAGAGAAAAAGAGGTGAATGCTATGTGCAGCCAGAGAGGAAGAGGTTAGCTCCATCTGGAAGGATTGTTCAAGAGGTTTTCATCAATTAAGAAAGTGGCATCTGAACAGGGTTGTCTCTAAATATGCATCTCAGGCAGAGGCACAGCTTATGCAAAGGCACTGAGGTAGGAAAGGATGGATGTTTCCCAGGGCTTGAGAAACTCCTTGTGGCAGGAATTCTGGTGCTACAGGAAAGACTGATGAGGAACAAGGGGGCATATGCTGGCAAGGTGGGGTGGGGGGTGGATCCCCAGGGCCATGGAAGAAGTGTGGACCTTTTCTGAGACAAGTGGGAGTGACATGGCCAGATTTGTGGTGCAGAAAACTTTCTCTGGCTGCAGAGTGGAGACCAAAGAGGGGAGGATAAGAGCAGGAAGGCTGGCAAGGAGACCGTTGTACTAACCACAGCCAGAGATGATGGGGGCCAGAACTAGGAGTTAGCTCTGTGGGACTTGACTCAACAGGGAGACTTGAGTGGTATTCAGAAATCAAGAAATGTGCTGGTGGTGGAGTGATCACCAGGAGGTAACCAAACATCATGCCCAAGTTTGAACAACCGAGCAACAAAGTGCCATTTCCTGAGATGGAGAAGCATGGGAGAGGTTGGGAAGGGGAAGGGGGCATGGAAATTAAGCCTCAGGAATGTTAAGGATGTTCCAGTAGAAAACATGCTAGAATGAGCTGCAGACTCAGGGCTTGCCAGAGTCACTGCCTGCCGCATAACTGGTCAAACTACAGAATCACTCAGACCCCCAGTATCCTCTTCTATAAAATAGATGTCTACATTACATGATTTTGTGAGAATTAAGTGAAGTCATGTACGTAACTTAGAAAAGTACCTGATAAGTAGCAGGTGTGTAATAAATGTTAAAGTAAAAAGTCATAGCATCTTTACAAAAATTGATAAATATTCTGGAGTGTTTACTATTCAAAATACATTTCCTTCCTACATTTTTTTACTAAACCTTTCTCTAGCATTATGAGCCCTCTCTTCACTTTAATACATTTATAACTGAGAGATGAATGGACAAAGAAGATGTAGTATATATATACAATGAAATATTACTCAGTCATTGAAAAGAATGAAGTCTTGCCATTTGCAGCGATGTGGACAGAGCTAGAGAGTATAATGCTGAGCAAAATAAGTCAGTCTGAAAAAGACAAATACCATATGATTTCACTCATATGTGGAATTTAAGAAACAAAACAAACAAAGAGGAAAAAAAGGAGACAAACCAAAAAACATACTCCTAACTATAGAGAATAAGCTGTTGGTTGCCAGAGGGAAGGTGGGTTGGGGGCACGGATGAAACAGGTGATGGAGATGAAGAGTGTACTTGTGTTGATGAGCCCTGGGTGATGTACAAAAGTGCTGAATCACTACATGGTACACCTGAAACTAATACCACGCTGTATGTTAACTACACTGGAATTAAAAATTTTTAAATAATAATAACAAATATAAAAATAAATAAGTAAATCTAAAACTGCTAAATTATAATTTTCAAAAAGGTAAGAACATGACTCATAAAAATATGAAATGAACACATGGCAGAGATACTATTCAACCATTAATTAATGAATTAGTTAAGATTGGCTCAATGGAGAGTTTGAGGAACAGGGATTTTTATAGTTAGTCCTAGGAATTTGGAAATGAATTTACTAACTGATATCCTACAGCAAAAAAAAAAAAAAATTCTTTTTTTTTCACTAGACAAAAACCAATTGCACCTTTACCAGACAAAATTCATTTACATTGCTTATGGACAGGAATTATTTGCATTGCTCTCAGACAAGAGTCATTTACGCTGCTATCAGTTAACCTCTTCAGAGCTGCAAAATCACCTAGTCAATCAATCAGTCAAAGATACACATCCTTATATAACCAGAATATCCCCCACAGTGTCTGCTAGACAATACCCAGAACCTATTTCCAGGTTTTAGATCATTTTTATTGGTAGTAACTAGTGATTCTTTGTTGGAAGATCATTATCAACATCCTAATATAATCTTCAAATCACTAGAAGTTGCGCTCTGTAAGAGGAAGCCTCTTTTCCTTTTTTTTAAAGATTTATTTATTTGAGAGGGAGAGAGAGAGAGCAGGGGGAGGGGTAGAGGGAGAAATCCCAGGCTGACTCCCCACTGGACGGGGGTGGGGGCTCAATCTGAGGACCCCGAGATCATGACCTAAGCTGAAATCAAGAGTCCGCCGCTTAAGTGACTGAGCCACCCAGGCCCTCCGCCTCTTTTCCTTGTGTCTATGAGTTGCTGTATCTCTTGTGTCTGTGAGTGCCCAGCATGTAGTGAATGCTCAATACATTCTGTTGAGGTGGGGCAGAGTGGGACAGAGGGAGAGGGAGAGAGAATCCCAAGGAGGCTCCACACTGAGCGGGGCTTGATCCCAGACCCTGAGATCATGACCTCAGTGGAAATCAAGTCAGATGTTCAACCAATGGAGCCACCCAGGTGTCCTGTTCAATACGTTTTTAAATAAATCAGTAATAATAGCTATTATCTTTGGTTTATTCCATAGCAGGAACTTTGCTTTGTATACATTGTCTCCTTTAATCCTCCCAGTGATCATCAGGCAACACACACCCATCCACTTGTACACAGTCTGCACGCATGTACATACATATGCCTGCATACCCATGCAAAATGCATATATCCATGCGTGCCCACACTCACACGTATGCATGCACACATATGTCTGCACGCACACGCATGCGCGCGCGCACACACACACACACACACACCCTCTGGACCATCTAATTATTCTCCATTTCCCTATCAGCAAACCATCCCCTTGCATGATGATGAGTCCCCACATACTCTACCTCTTCCCCTGGTAATGCCTCCACCTGATCCACTTCTGTTTAATGCTTTAGATCCTTTTTTAATATTTGCTTTTGGTGAAACCATCTCTGATTTCCTCCGGGAACTGGACCCCACCTTTCTCCACTTGTCTCTCAGACTCTCACAGCAGCTTTCCCGGGCACTGATGAAGCAACACTGTCTACCTGTCAGTCTCAGAGCCACCTGAGACCAGGGGCAAGACTCTATTCACCAAGCACAGTACCTAACAGAGGGAAGATGCTTGCTAAATCTTTGTTGATGTCAGTGGTCTGGGATTGCATCTTCCAGGGTGTCCTCAGCTGCTCCTCGAAGAGGGGGCCATCACCACCATTCCCCTCACCCTGGCCATCCAGAAGCTCAACCCTTGCCTGATGGAGCTGTGCCGCTTTTTCCAGCAATGCCTCTGCATAAGCCAGAAGAGAGAGACCAGGACGGAGGCCATGAGGTAACCGGAACCAGGTGTCCCTTCCCACAGTCAGTATTTCGGGGCTGCCTCAAGGAATAGACTCTCCGGTGGGTCTTGTACTAGACCATCACCTCCTTGAGAGCCAGGGTGGAACCTCATTCGTTTCTGGGTCCCTGGAAGCCAGTGCAGGGCCTGACCCGGCAAGTGCGGCTGAGTCGAGTGGAGGTGAGCGGAGACGGTGTGAACTGAGCCGAGCTGAGTCATACATGTGGAGTGGTCACACAGGACTTCCGGTGGCCCTGGAGCCCTCTCAGCCTTAGCCTGGTGAGATTTGCCAGAAGAGAATAATCAGAGGACATGTCCGTCTAAATTCTAGCTTTTTCTAAATCCCTAGCAGTCGTCTGCTGGCCACATGAGAAGATTGTAAAACGAAATTTAGAAGGCAGACCCCGCTTCATATTAGAAGTTGTAGGCATGGACGTTCTTCTGCCCTCGAGCACAGACATTCTACCCTTTCTTCTGGGGTTAGTCTTGGCTAAAAACCCAGAACCAAAGAAGCATGGATGACCGCTTCAGCTCCAGTGGTCTGGGGCCAATCTCCCAGATCTTTAATGTTCCTTTCCACGTCCTCTCATGACCCTTCAGCTTTTCAAACCTCTATCATCCACTATCTCTGAGCCCCCAGTCCAGGTTTGCAGCCTCTTTCCATTATCCACTATCTCTGAGCCCCCAGTCCAGGTTTGCAGCCTCTTTCCATTACATCCTTATCTTGTATCCTTCAGTCAATGTGAATGTTTCCTCCACCCAGAGAAGTAAATGAGCAAGATCCCTACACCCAAAGTGTGAGCAAGAGATGTGGATGAATTTCCCCACCACGCAAGCTCATCCTAAAGAAGAGAAAACTTTTGCGACCATACTTCTTACAGGATCAGCCCGCTATCAGACCTTCCCCCAGCAGCTCTTCAAATCAACAATGAGTTGAGTCTCTCCTAGCTACTTGTTATGTACTTTGCTGAACCACGGGAATTGAGAGGTGAATCAGGCATAGACCCAGAAACTGAGGATTTCAAAGTTGGGAAGAAGAAATGGTCATAAACCCAAATTAAAGTATGGCTAGTAAGGGACAGAACCAAGTCATACCCAGAGGCAGGACCTATTCCTAGCACCCCTTTGGAGAAAAATCACATTTAAAAATTCTATATTGCAAATACCAGGTGGAAGGGTAAATGGGGAAGGTGGAAGTTTCCAGAGAGGAGTTTTAAGTTAAAATTTAGAGAAATGAAGCATCTAGGAACCTGAGCTTATCCCTTCCTTTTCCCTGTATGTTCACTTAATAGTGAACCCTTCTATAATCTCATACTAAACACTGAGTACAGGCTAAGAATAACAGAGTAGGAGACTGGCTTTACTCAGTGTGTGTGTTGAATAGCACAGCCCCTGTGATCAAAAAAAAAAAAATCATTCTTGAGTGGGGAAGCTGGTCACGTAAAGAGAAATTACAGAACAGTATGACGAGCGTTGTAGCAGATCCCAATACGCACCGCGGGGCCCCAGGGCAACTAAGAGGGCTTGATGGAGGAATAGAAGCTTCCTGGGCAGGAAATGAGAGAGGCCACTCCAGGCAAAAGGAATAGCAAGTGCAAACATGGACAGTGAGAGGCAGCCTGGAACATCATAGATCCACTGAGATAGGCAATGTGGCTGCAGCAAAGGCAGAGGTCCCTTTTCAGGAAGGCTTTCCTCCTTCTCGCACCTGGCGAGCTCTTGCAAACAGGTTTGGACTTTTGCCCTAGAGCTCCAGCAGCTCCTCTTGGCTGTGCATTTCCTCCTTCCTTCAGAACAGATTGAACCCATTCCCCAGGGTCCTTTGATATCCTCTCTGTTTTGGAAGCTTTCTAAGCAATTGGTTTGTGGTCGTTAGATCATCTTGCCAAGCTTGCACGCTTCAGGCTAGCAGAGGGGAGATTAAGGAGTAAGTCACAGAACTGGGCTCTCAAAGCTAGTAGGTAGCTTAGTGTGCTGTATGGGGGATAGGGTGAAACCAAGCCGACTGGGTTTAAATTTAGGCTCTGGACTTACAAGCTCTGTAGGCTAGTCGTGTAACGTCTCCAAGCCTCAGTTTTTTCTTCTGCAAAATGGGTATAGCCCGATTAGCATGGCAGTGCGTTCCAGCGTGATGGGGATTGCCTGGGGAACTAGCGGCACTCTCTCCTGAGATCAGTGAGTCCTCAGGCAAATCAGTCCATCTCTGTGCCCTGGTTTCCTTAAAGTCACAGCGTCCTGGAAATGGAGGGTGACGGGGGAGCCTGGGGAATCTTTACAGCCGGCTTTACTCGAACAGTTAGTTGCTCCCCGGGGTGTGCTAGAATCACAGAGTGGTGGAGGCGGGAGAGAAATGGGAAGATGTTTAACCCAACCTCCTCATGTATCCGGCGAGGGAGGGACAGGGCGGCGAATTCCCAGAGTCCCACAGGGAGCGGGTGGTACAGTCTGCACAGAAAGCTCTTCTTCCTAGTAATGTGCTCCGTGCTCTCTCACTAAAGCCCTTCGAAGCCATCCCCGCAGCCCCAGCCAAGAGCAGGATATTACTTTGCAAGTATTTTCTGCCTTATGAACTGCAAGAGCCCCGCGTTCTTAGCCCACCTCATGTGAAAAACAAATCATCGGACATCATCATTTGCGGAGCACCTGTTACAAGCCTGGTCCTGTTCGGGAACTTGGCGCATGTTAGCTCACTTAGTCCTGGTGATAACCTGTGAGGGTAGGTTCTAGCATTGCCTTTCGACTGCCTATGAAAAAATCTAAGGCCCAGAGAAGTGAGCGCTCAGCCTGAAGTCACACATCCTAGTGAGGAATGAGGCCAGGACTAAAAATATATCTTTCTCACTCCAAAGTCTAAGCCTCTCCCCGCTCAGCCTCACCCTCTGCCTCTCCTCCCACACCCTGTAAAGTTGGAGAGGGGGTCCTTGCTGCGAGTAGTTGGCCGTGATGACTTTTTCAATGGTGGTTGTCTTCCATTAGCCACAAGGCATGATGATTGCTTTCCACTCTAATTGGAATCTTTAGGTACTGTCTTGAATACTATTCCTGGTTTCTGAAGAACGCAACATACATCTGTCAGAGGGTGAAAAGGGTGCCCCACTCCCACAGTAAGTATACACTAGACCATGTTGTAACTTGACGATAAGTGCCTTCCATGACAGGGTTCTAGAACTCACTGATTGTCCTGCCTTCGTTGGGGGTCAGTAAAAGTAGGTGCAGCTCATGTAGTCCTCGTTAATTCTAGACAAAAAGAGTGGAGGGCATTTTTGATTACTCTTCACCTAACAGTTCGATGTTTGCAGTTGGGTGTAGGAAAAAAGAAAAAGAAAGGAAACGCAGGAGTCAGCCCGACCAAGCCCTTTTGATCTTGGGCAAGTTTCTTATCCACCCTGACTCCCACATAAGCTAAAAATACAAATGAACAAAGAAAAATCAAACAAACAGAAACACTTAAATTCCTGACCAAAGCAAAATGAGTACCAATAATCCAACAAAAAGCTTGTTCTTGGGTTTGTTTGTTTGTTTTTTTTAAGATTTTATTTTTAAGTCTTCTCTACACCCAACATGAGGCTCAAACTCACAACCCGAGTCACATGCTCGACCGACTGAGCCAGCCAGGTGCCCCCGAATAATGCAAGATAAAGAAAGCATCATGAGGTGCTAGAAGTAGGGAATATGGTATGCTCTTCTGGTCCTGATGGCATCAAAACCCCATTTACTAGCAGAGAGACCAGACTTGAACTTTGTTTTCTCTCCCATTCCTGCAGACAAAAGTGGCCGACCTGGCCTAGCTGGTCCCCAAGCCAGTGCTCTGGCTGTCTACCTGGACTATCCAGTCGAAGGACTCTGACTTTCTAAAAATCATGGAGCTACATGGAACTTACATTACTTCCATTCTGCAGCACAAAGCCCAAGCATTTGGAGGTGGAGGCGTGGGGGGCTCAGTAGTCAAAGACAGTAATCCTTTTGCCTGGTATGGCAGAGGGAGCAGGGAATTTTACAAGCTACTTATACTTAAATAGCTCTTCTTTTGTCCTTGGCACATTAAAATCTCCACGCAGAAAACATATTACATCTACTGGACAACATATTAATGAGGTTAGATTAGCTTTCTGCAAACTGGGGTGATCAGGTAGATAGAAATGGGTATCGGGAAACCATCACTGGGCAGTGAGTACAGAGCTGAAGGCTGTTCTCCTCTCGACTGGGCTGCTAACCAGGGGGGTTCTTGCACACATCGTTCTTCCTCTCTGACATGGACTCCTGAGTCCCCATCCACTGCCCTGCCCTACCCTTGCCCTCCAGAGGAGCCTGGTCCATCGTTGATGCTGCCTGAGTTTATGTCCCTGTAGCATTTCTTTCTTTCTCACTACCTTGAATTCCTTCTTCTTTTTTCCTTCCAGCCTTAAAACAAAAATGCCTCCAGAATATCTGCCAGTCGGTGTGAGGCCTTGAAAAAGCGATGGGACCTAAGGATACATTGGTCAACATCTCTTCACCCTGGCCCCTGGCCCAAGTGGTCTGTCCTTGCAGATTTCAGCAGGCTCCAGCCAGATCATCAATCAACCAAAAGAGGTTCTTTTTGGGAGTCACATTTCTTTCTCTCCTGTGACTCCTGGGAAGGTGGAAGACCAAGTGTTAGAGGCTGCACCGAAACCTAAATCCGTGTTCAAGGAACCCCCGTGATGCTTGCAGTAATCCTGAGACTGGAGAGATGGGGTGAGGGGTGTCGCACTAGCAGGAACAAACTAGTCCCGGCTCCGAGACTCTGACGCAGTACCCAAAGTGACTTAAACTTGGGATTTTAGGAAGACAGCAAGATAAATAAGGAAAATTGAACCCATACTGTGGAGAGATTCACATATGATTTCTCTATACCATTAACTCACACTCAGTTATGTACAACTAATCAGACTTGTGGATTATAGGATCCAGATAATCTCCCAAGCCCCCTAAGTAGGAGGTGATGAGAACCTTCCCTCAGAAGAAACACAGAGGTTTGTGGGTTTTTTGTTGTTGATGTCTTGTCTTGATTCCTCCTCTGTGGGTCCCACTGTATTTGGGGGTCTCCAAGAGCATTCTCAGGTTCGGTGATTCGCTAATCAGACTCATGGAACTCTGAACAGCTGTTATACTCACATTTACTGCTTATTATAGCAAAAGGACAGAGATTAGGGTCAGCAAGGATAAAAGGGGCAGAGGGCAGGGCACCACCTTCCATCTGTCCTCTACAGTGAAGCTGCAGGGGCAGCACTGAATTCTTCCAGCAATGACACATGACAACACATATGGAGTATCGTCAACCAGGAAGGCTCATCTGAGCCGTGGAGGCCAGGGTTTCGATTGGGGACCAGCCTGTAGGCATGAAGTGCCCACATAGCTGATCTCAGTTACTCGGTCTCCAGGCTCTCCAGAGGTCAAGGCAACATGGCGTCCCAAGGCCCCCACTATAACCACATTGTTAGCTTAGACTCTAAGTCTGGCGTGGCCCAAAGCCCCAGGTGGACAGACGCTTTTGTCAGGCAGGAGATTCCAAGGGTTCAGAGGTTAGCCCCCGGGAACTGTTCAAGGGCTAGACTTTTCTTTGGCAGATGCAGGGTTCAAATGCCCTAGACCTGCTGAGTCAACCCTTTCCTGCGCACCCACAGGCGAAGGTGTCCCCTTTATTGGTTCAGGTCCCTTTTAACTTTTGCCCAAGTCTGGGGCTGCCCCAACACCCCTGTGAATGCCAACTCTCCCTATAGAGCGTTCCTGAGCCAGTCTGCTCTTTCCATGGCCCTCGGTGGACCCCCTAGTCCCTCACTGCTGTGCCTGGAGCTCTGGGGCCCCGCTTTCTCACATTAGTAGGCTGCCTGGCCATCAATCTCCCACCTTTGTGATCTATGCCCCTTGGTGAGAAAACTCACTTTCCATTTATAGTCCAAGTCAAACCAATTTCCCCCCATTGGAAGACCCTCGAGGGCTCTTGCTCTGATGCCCTGTGAACAACAACGCTCTTGGAAAGATAGACCTTGAACTTTGGAGAGAGAAGCAGCCAGACACTTCCCTGTCTGATCACACGCAGATATATTTTTAATCTCCAGAACACGCCCGAGACCCTCAAAGTTATGCAAAGGTCAAGCTCATGAATACCTGCTGTCATAACTCTTGGGGCTTGCAGAGGGCCCTCTAGTTTGCCGAGCTGAGGAGGACACAGTAAATCCACTAAGACAAAGCGATCCATATCTGGCTAGGAATCAAGAAAAGAGCACCATTCATCAGGTGTGCGTTAATCTAACTAGACCTTCTCTAATGGATAACGTTGATATTAATGAAGGATCTTGGGCAGGAAAAGATCCCAGAGGTTCCCCAAAGAGTAATTTATCATCAGGGAAGGTGGGACAGATGACTTGGTCCCAATACCCTGGCTGTTCACTTGTGGCGAAAGCCTTGGTGATAACGGCTGAGCATGGCTAACTTTGGAAATGTCACGTGTGGAGGACCTCGGAGGCCCATGCAGGGATCTGATCTTGCAGCAAAGACAAAGCCTCAGAGGACCACACAGGACCAATTTTCTAGGGCCACACCATCTGTCACACCAGCAGCAGCGGTAGGAGGAAAGCAGGACCCAAGAGCAAACTGAGCAGAGCCTGGAGCTCACGGTCTGCTGGAGGTCAAGAGGAGGTTGGACCCCTCCTGAGCTGAGTAAGTCCCGACTTGGGGAGTGCCTAGGGCAATGAGGAGGCCTCAGGGGGTGCTGCCACACCAGAATTCTTGGTGATTTGTGCATATGTGGCCATCAGTGGTTCACTGACAATGTAAAAAAAGATGGGGCAGTTACTGCGTGCCTGCTGATGGAGGAGACTCTGCATTTACACCTGTAACATCACCAAACAGGATTCTCCCCAGAGGCAAAGGCACAGGCGCATTCCTGTCTGTTCCATTCATGCCCAAAATACAAGCTAAACTGGAAGGAGCAAGGGAATTAGGGAGGGAGGAAGGCAGGAATTTTGGCACCCAGCCATACAGTCTGTTGACCTAACAGTTTACAGATGAGGGGTCTTCTGTGCTGGTGGGTGAGGACTGGGACGGCGTGGCTTCGCTCATCATCAGTGCTCACGAGACACTGAGCAATAACTAATGATCTATAAACAGAAGCTTCAACACACAGGGGCAACTAATTATTTGCAGAAGGCTTCTGGTGGATTCTGTAAAGGCTCACTCCCCCAGATTTAATCGTTGGATGAACCCCTGTGCTCCAGCAGGTGGGTGGTAGGTGAAGCACTCAAGAGCGCTCGCAGCCGGCGAACCTGTCAGCCAGGGATGAGCCCATCCCTGCGAGCGCGGCCAAACGCCACCCCCCGCCCCCGGCACCGGCTATCCTGCTGAGGGTCGTGAGCGTAGGATTAGTAGAGCAGCTATGGGGGTGCAACGAGAGGGACACAATCCCGTGAAAACACGCGTGGCACCTAATGGCGCTCAGTAGACCTTCGCTCTCCTTCTTAAGATCTGGAAAGGAAACCTGAAATTCTGGAGGATCTAGGATCACCAGCCCCTCCACGCACCGCACCTGGCTCACCTTGTTCACACAGTCCCAGTGGGGTCATCGCCACATAATGCACGTGGGAGCGGGCCCGAGCAGCGACAGGTCAGCGTCCCACTGCTAATGAGTGGGCAGGGCTGGCACCCGATCCTCGCGTGTCTGATTATGAAGCCCCGTCTCACCCCACCCCACAGCTGGCGCAGGAAACCCCTAAAGGAAAGAGGCATCGAATTCCCAGGCCTGAGGCCAGGAACATATAAGAAAAATCACCCCAGAGATCCTCTTGCTGAAGAATTAACTAGACCAGACAAAGCCAGCCCTTCTCCTTGTGGGAGAGCCCATGTGCCTTTCATCGGTCTTTCATCCCCCAGAGTTCCCCTGATGACCCCGAGACACAATCCCTGGGCCTCCAGGCCTTTGAGGTGAGGTGCGGGGTGGGGAACAAGGGAGCCATTGTTCTCTGATTAGAGCCCGGGTCTCCTCTGAGGCGCAAGATGGGCCTCTTAATATGGAGCCTCACCTGCTCCAAGTCAGAGCATTATGATGTCCTCCTCCCCTCAGAGGCCTCCCACCTGCCAACCTGCACAAAAGGCCGTCCTCTCTGTGTGAGGAGGGAGAGGGGGGTCACGTGACTAAGGGTCTTCCCTTGGGGTATAAAGGGCTCAGTCACCATCTTGTTCAAAGCCGAGCATCGTTCATCCACTGCTTCCAAGTGGGACCTTCACGGTAGGCACCCCCTTTCTCCCGATGGGTAGGGAGCCAAAGAGGATAGGAGGGAGGGAGGGAGGGAGGGAGGGAGGGAGGGAGGGAGGGAAGGAGGGAGGGCTGAAGGAAGGAAGCTACGGATGGCAGAACAGAGGGAGGGAAGCGGGCGCTCTCGGGGGGGCCTGAGGCCTGGATGCTAGCTAGTCCAGGATGGAGCTAGAAACCAAAGGCACTCTGCCCTTATACGTATGAGGAGATGCGATGCCAAAGTGACATCACCTGTTCAGTGTACCTGGGGGGAAAATCCACTACATCACATCAGTGAGGGTCCTGCAAACCTGTGTGAGCCGATTTCTCTCCCTAGGGCACCTCGTATGAAAATACAGTTATCATCAGTTAATGGGCCAGCCTTCCTGAGCACTTACTACATGCCAGGCACGGTGCCCCCTTTAACCCTCAGGACGCCATGATGAAGAACCATCATCCGGGCATTTTACTGCCCAGGAAAATGAGTTCCAAGCAGCTTTGGTACCTGGCTCAGGGTACTCAGTACGTAAAAGGCCAAGCCCACCCCAGGCCCATCCGCTAGAAGCCCTTGCTCTTAGACACTTCCCACATTGCCTCGCAGTCACTCATCAGGAGACAGCTTGACCAGCCAGGACCCCAAATAGTGCCTGCAGACCAAGGCAAGGTGCGGGGGGCCCTTATTTCCTCAAGGATAGTCAGGTTCACTGCTAGCCCCGGATGCCTCCTTGGGTCAGTTAAGAAGAGGGGGTCCTTCCTCCAGGTGGACACAGCCCCACAGCCAAGAGCACCCGGCTTGGTCAACAGACGGCTGCTGGATTTCAGCAGCGGCCCGGTGCCCTCCCACCTGGAGACCCTAGTGTGCGTGCCCCGGACTCGTGGCTCCCTTGCCGGTATGCGGGGCTGAGCCTGTACCACCATCTCCGGCTATCACCCACACCTCCCTCTCGTGGCTCTCAGCTGGGGATTGTCAACTGCCGCGTCCCACCACACCCCGGCCAGGGGCTGGCCACTTGGAGGGGCCTCCCAAGCAAACGTTACCAAAGATCATGAGAGTTGTACAGTGAATGAGCGCTCGGCTGCTTGTCGCGGGTTTAACGCTCAGGATGGCCGTTTCGGGCGGGTACCACACGTGGCCCGAAGACTTACACCGGACCGGCCGGCTCAGTCTGAGCACTGCGTCTGGGGCTGCCGTGGCCCTACTGGACCTCTCCGAGCCCCAGTTTTCCACACGGAAAGTGAGAGGTGTGCCAGTAAGAGTCCTGACGAGGCAGCCTGAGGTGCATGCTTTGTGGTGTGCCTGACATGAAGAATGACCCTGTAAGTGCAAGGCCGTGTTTAGAGGCAGAAAGTCCTAGAGTGTATAAACTACTTTGCTTTTAAGTGTGGTAAAATATACACACCATAGAATTTACCCTTTCAGCTATTTTTAAGTGGGCAGTTCCATAGCATTAAGTATATTCATGTTGTGGTGCATCTCCAAAACCTTCTCATCTTCCCAACTGAAGCTCTGTCCCCATTCAACAATGATCCCCATCCTCCCTCCCCGTAAACTACTTTAAAAAATACATCAGAGCTGAGTCACGACTTTGTCTGTAACAGGGTCACTTTTGCTCATTTGCCTTCTAATAAATACATGCTTGAAAATCCAATCAACATATTTGCAATTCTGACAAGGGTCACCCTTGCGTCTTCTGGACGCATCAGGACAGCCAGGGGACTGCCTCCCTGAAATGAGTGTCCCAGGAGCAAAAGAACAGCATCCTCTGCACGAAACTGACCGCCTTCCTTCATTTCACCAGACAGAGGCTTCCGCTCAATCGGGGAATGGGGGCCTTTATTGTAAGAGCTGGTCTATCTGGAGCCTTTACTGTGTGCCAGACGCAATGGCTATAATTAGGAATGTTTCCGAGCCCCTTCTCTCCATCACGCACTGTGGTCAGTGCCCCGGGTGGAGGAGCTCATTCGGTCCTTATGATAGCCTCGGAAGCAGTACTGTTATAATGAGCTCTGGACATTTGGGAAGTGGGACATTCAGACCATAAATCGCTAGTCTCTCAGGCTCAGTGAACTCATCTGTAAAATGAGTTTGAACAAGATGGTTCCAGCGCCTTTTCAGAGCTCCGGCATCCTAGCACTCTCTCGTGGCGTGCTGGCGACAATAGCAAATGGGGCTTAGTGAGTGCCTGGTGGTGACATGGGTATGACCTCCGTGGGTGTGACCCGCTGGAATGCCTTCAGCCGCTCACCCGTGGAGTTGCCAGGGCAGCCACTCTCCATCTAGAGATGTCCCAGGGCTCACCCAGCATTTTCAGTCTGGTTTCATGGCCTTGATCAAGGGTCATTCGGATTCAAATCTCTGCAGAACAGTCAGAGAGCCCGTCTAACCTTTAACGTGAATCTGCTGTAGGAATCGATGTGGCTACCAAAGGTTAGAGCAGAGCATCACGCCCATCAGATAATAGTCAGAGTAGGAGAAGATGATTGAGCCAGGTGAGAATCTCCAAAAACTCACCTTTTTGCCCTCCGCACCCACTCAACAAACGTTTACTTTATGGCCACCAGAGGCTGGGCTAGGCCCTAGGGAAGTTTCACAGGGTAGTGATCCTACAACCTACAAATGTCTTCTCCTCTGGGACACCTTCCCTAATATCAATCCCTGCCCACAAGTTCGAGTGGCCCACCATGACCCTGGGACATTTGCAGGGCCACCAGAACATGGGGCAGCATTTGCCTCTGGGAGAACAAACTGCAGAAAGTGTTCCTTCTTCCAGGTTGATGCAGCCCTGCAGAGGACAAGCTTGGGAGTGGAGCACTGGTTGCATTTCAGCCCTTACGTGACCCTCAGTGCCACACCTTTGCACGGTGCACAACATATACAACAGTGTCCAGCAGCCCTGTGTGCCCACTGGGGTAGCAGGATCACACTGTATTATCATTCACACTTGGTTCTTAAAACCTGCTTTACAGCAGAATATGCACAAGTCAACCATCCATCTGACAGTCTTTATGGAGTTATATTCCCAGGGAGCTAAAATTATTCTAAAACCCCTCGGGCTTTAATGTTTTTCCTTCTTTATGAAATACATGGTTGACCTGCTTGAGTGCACTAAGTGCCTACCGAAGTTAAATATTTGCTGAGCGGCTCAGAATGCAGGGCAGTGACGATTGAAAGGTGGTAAGTCCTTGGACCCGGCGCCCTTGCCCTGCCCCTCAGTCCCGAAAGCATTATCTCTTGAACGCCTGGACCGCAAGGAAGTATTCAAATTGCTCTGAAGCTACAGGAGGGGAAGGAAGATGGAACCCCGGCAGGAAAGCATTGTTTGCGAGCAGGCAGCGCCACCATGCGGTCGCCAAATTTATTCCTGGGTCAAGTGATGGTAGGATGGTTCCAAGTCAGACGGCGAAAGGTATATTCGGAAGGCTGCTGTAGCCCAATGTATGGGTTTTTTGCAGTTCAGTCTACAAAAGTCAAACTGTAGCACTCGTTCAACTGCCTCTCGGTTCATTAGTCTGTGAGCTACTCGCAGATAAGGAGTGCTTTTCCCTCACTTTTCATTCCAGGATCCTTGCAATGTGCCTGAAACACAATAAATAACTGTGGGAAAACGAACAACCAGATCTGTGTCCTCAAGGGGCACCTGGCTAAGTTTCCAGGTGCATCTCAGAGAGAGAACGTGATCTCCTGAATGTCATCAGTTAATGCTGGTCAGTGGCAAAGCTGGGACAGAAACCCTTTCAGGGCTTCTTCCCTGTTTCTGCACTCCACCCTGGGACGAAGAGCTCCTGGTGGTTCTTATTTCCCCGGGATCTCTGAAAACATCCTCATCATGTTCCGCTGACTTCCCTCCCAGGAGGCTGTTCCGGTTGGTGCCTCGGCCCCCAGCCTTTGCCCTCCCGCTATGATCCTGCTTCTTCTCCTAAGTATGCTGACGGCCCCACATGGCGGTGAGTAATGGTATTTTACACTGTATTTCTGGCTTGGTCCATAATTAATATGAACACTGGGGAGGACTGTTAAATGTCATCTGATTTGCTTATTACTACTTTTATCCCTTTGCCTAGGAGTGATGGAAATCCAACAGTAACAATAAGCTATGGGTTTATTTCAGCTGATATTTTGAGCACCCTATCCAGGGCATGAAGCACGGGCTGGGCGATGAGGTCAGGGAGAGGGAGAGCCAAAGGTACTAAAAGCACCACTGGGTGGCCTGTTGGCAACCGTCCCTCCCCCTGATAGCACATCCCCTCTTCCCTTTGCCCATGGACCTCTGTCCCGTGTTTTGCTGGTTTCCTCGGAGTGAGTGTGTCAGCCTTCTTGACATGCAGCAGCTCCCTTTCCCCTGTGCCGGTGTGTCTGGTGGAGAGGCAAACACTTCTACCCCACATTGTAGGGTCCCCCACCCCACCAAAGCCTGAAGACATCTGAGCAAGCTCCTTGGCAGGCAGGGTCATCATTTTGAGTTTGCATGGAGTCATGGCTACAAATCTGAGACTTCGGGCTCCTTCCTATTTTCTTTCTTGTTTGCACATTGGTGCAACTCTCAAACACCCCAACTCACTTCTTTCCTTCCTACAGCTGCTCAGGCTCCATCGTGACTGATATCACTCACTCATCCAGACATTTTCTCTTTTCCTCCTCCTGTTCGGGTCAACACGGGACCAACACGCTGAGCCTCCTTTTACGGTTCCCTTCTAAGCACAATAGTGAGGGTGAGCCACAGTGAATCCACCAATATTGTTGACAATTTATCGTGACTCTGACCTGAGTTAGTGGATTTGCAGAGGTTTACATGTTCCCCAGAAGCCTGTGAGCAGAAATGACAGCACTTCACAGAAGACGCCAAGCCTTTCCTTCAGGTCCCAGTGCTCCCAAACACCGTCCCAGACCTTCCCTGCAGGACAGGTGGACACCCACTTCCAGGAGGTGCTGGTTTTCTCTTGATTACTGAGTTCCTTCATGGATGATTTTTTTCCTTATCAAAACCATTTTGCTGTGATGTGGGTTCCCAGGGATAGCACCACTGGGGCTGCTGTTCCCAGGGCTCCACCTTTACCAAGACCTCAACTGTCTCGATCAAATTCCAACTGTGGTCTTGACTTGTCTCTTTTTTGATGATAAAACTGTGAAATAGTCTACAGCTTTTCAATTTCTTCCCTATTCTTTAAAATGAGATCTCGGGCACCTGGGTGGCTCAGTCAGTGAAGTGTCTGCCTTCAGCTCAGGTCACGATCCCAGGGTGCTGGGATCGAGCCCTGCGTCTGGCTCCCTGTTCAGAGGGGAGCCTGCTTCTCCCTCTCCTCTCTGCTTGTTCTCTCTCTGTCTCTATCTCTCTCAAATAAATAAAATCTTTAAAATAAAATGAGATCTCACCCCCCAAAGCCCATTCTTCTAATTTTTCAAACATACTCTCTTCTCTGAGTTTTTCCTTTTCCAAAACAATAAATTTCCCTTTGATCGAAATTACCCCTTCAACACCCCCTAGACACGTTTTACACATCTCTTTAAATATTTTGTTTCTCTATAAGACTGAGGCAATGGTCTCCTGTTATTATAAACTGTCACAAGCATTTTTGCATCTGTCCTGGGAGGTTTTATTCTCAGACACAAACAGCGAGAGTCCAAAACTCATAGCCATAGGAAGTTCAGGTGCAAACGTATGCATGTCCGTGCAGATTTAAATGTGCCATATCTGCAGCCCCCACTTTGCAGGGCTAAGTGTAGGACTCGCACAGAGATAACACCGCCCACCCAACCAACGCACCACATCTTGCTCCAGGGGGGAAAGGGCTCTTTCTAAGGCAAGGAGACAGCAACCAGGAAGGGGGAGAGATCAGACGCTGCGCCAGTGAAGATGGGGCATCCGTGGTCACCGCTGGATCTGAGGAGCCCTTGGCCAGGACACCAAGGAGGAGTCCATCAGAAGAGCCCCATGTACCCCAGGAGGTGGTCCACGGCATTACACCCACTGAGCCAGTGCAAACTCTGATTGGGCCTTCAGAGCACTCCACTTGCAAAGCTGGAGTTGTGCCGGGCACCTTCTCGCCGCTGTGCTCCCAGGGCTACTGACTCAGATTTCAAGGCAAGGTTGGGCGTGTTGGCAATGTGGAGGGTCTCTGTGCCCTACCAGGCCTCTCTCTGGGGTGTTTCTTTGTCCTTGTGCAGGAGTGGGAGCAGCATCTATGTTTGCCTCCCCGGCACACACCCAGGACAGGGGCTGCCCTCCCTCCTCTCTTCACTGAGAGTTGGCTCATGACTTCAAAGGGCAGGCACTGGTCGGTGGGATGGTGGTCAGGTTTGTGTCAGGAGAGGGAGATCTTCTGGGACCTTCCACCTATGCCACATGCTCCCTTCTTTGGAGAGCTCTGCACCGGCCCACATCATACAGCGAAATTGGTTCTCACTCCCTGTTCTCTGCACGTCCATCTTCCAGAACTTCTGGGAACAGAGGCCGGGCAAAGATGGGTTTTGTGCATCCCTGGTTGATCTTCTGGGTAGAATACTTCATACTATGAAACACCACTCGTAACCACCAATAGACCGCATTTTTCCACTCTCTCAAGATGACATCTCCTAATTTCGCTTAAATTTTACAAGGCTAGGACGCTATGATTCTAGTGGGCCATCACTTGCTGGCTGATAAATTGGTCATTTGATGGCGTAGTTCAGCCACTGTGTGCTCATTTGCTCATTAAAGAGCTACCTACTGAACGTGTGCTTTAATGCGTCAGCGTTCTGACCCTCAATACTTTCCTACTTTAGTGGGGGAAACGGGCACATAAACAGATCATTGCGACATGGCGTCATAAGTGCAGTGAGAGAAGCATGTCCCCACATTACGGGAGCCAGGGAAGGTGTCCCTACCCCAGCCCATGCTGGGGTTTTGGTTGGACTTCTCAAACTTTGCATGGAATCCAAAAACATAAGTCAGTAACGCAAAAGGGAGCAGGTCATGGCTCAGGGCATGGCACAAGCCAAGGTTTGGCAGAGCTAGGCAGGGACAGATGGAGGGAAGCTTTAGGTTCCGGGGCAGAAGAAGCTAGAGCTTCCGCCATGGGTCTCAACTTCACTGTTGATAAAGTGGCCAATGGCAAAACGTGCCCCGCAGCACTGGGCACTGCACTGGATTTGAGGGGATGCCTGTAAAACCGAGCCTGGAATGGTACGAATGCTAGCTTCCTTCCCCTAGAGCAGCACTCCCACGGAACCAGAACTCTCCCATCCCCAAGGACCTGCCACCCCTCTGAATTTTGTGAGCGAGCCACCTCAGTCCTCTGGGATCAGTAATTTCAAATCCAGGGCACTTCTTTAGTTGCTAATGAAATGTGTGGGTGTCAACACCCTGAGAGTAAGTAGGGGTGGGAGTAGGGGGCATGCATCCTTGTTAGCTGTTTCTCAGTGAGCAAACCACCTCCACTGGCCAGAACGCCAAGGAGATACCAGAGAAGTAATTATTGAGGACCAGGCGGTATTTCACAGTTGCTGCCTGAGTAGACAGCAGATATTCTTAGCTGTTGGCTGGTATGCTAATTAAATCGTTTCTGAGGCAATTACACCAAATATGGAATGCACCGGAGCAATTACGTGGGCTCTGTGATAAGGCTCACCTGGAGCTGAAGGAAGTCCTGGGTCTCCCCACCTTCTGAACATCTGCAGGGCACTTCCCGGTGCAGCCCATGGCTCTTCGGCCAGAGGGAATACCCCTCAGTGGGACCATCCCTCTGTGTTTAATGGTGAGAAATCCGGAGGACCAGAGAGGTTGCTCCTGCCCACAGCCACAGAACACATCCGGCTGGGAGGGAGGCTGGTGCTGGGCCGACTTCGTCATATGGAAGGGCTGGGGTACGGTGCACAGGAGGGCAGCTGCCTCCCCCTCCAACCCATCTCTGGAGGGCCCGACAGCAGAGGGTCTGGGGGCTGCCTGGACCCAGGGAGAGCCCACAGGGTTTGTAGATTGGAAGAGTGCTCTCCTGCAGACAAGCACCTGCTAAACACGTCTGTGCCCCTGAGATATGTCCCTGGTGATGATGAGGTGGATGAAGAGGTGAGGTCCAAGCAATGCAAACCATTTGTTAGTGTGGAGGGGAGAGGGGGCAGTGAGTGGAAGAAGTTGGTAATAATAGTCATAATAATGATTAATGGCTGGGGTAACTTTTGCGTGTCCGCGGCACACCTCTCAGCGCTACTTAATCCGCTCTTGACATGCTTCTTTGATCCATGATGTCAGATCTTTTCTTTTAAGATTTTATTTATTTATTTATTTGAGAGAGTGCATGAGAGAGAAAGAGAGAAAGCCTGAGCAGGGGGGAGGGGCAGAGGGAGAGGGAGAAGCAGACTCCCCACTGAGCGGGGAGCCCTACAAAGGGCTCGATCCCAGGACCCTGGGACCAAGACCTGAGCAGAAGGCAGATGCTTAACCCACTGAGCCACGCAGGCACCCGCATGCGGTCAGATCTTGCAGGCTCAGGTTCATCTAATATCACACCATTGCTCCAGCCCCTCTCAATTCCCTGCAGACCCCCTGCTTCATACTGAGCACTCAAAGCCCCTGGGGACATAGCCCAGCCTAGGGACCAAGTATGGGAAAAGGTCAAGTCCCACTGGCTCCCCACCCAAATATTTCACACAATTCAAAACTTGCATCCTCTCGCCATGTCTCCACTGTGGATAAATGAAGGGTAGGGGGCTGGGTCTCAGCATGCGTGTATCCCTAACAGCCGTTGATCATTTTCTGTGCTGATAGTGTGGGAAAGCCCTGTCCTTGATGATCAGCTCCCTGGGGGCTAGGGGTCTCTCCTTGCCCACACTTATTTCCACCTATCTTTCATCTTATGGCACTCCAAACAAACATGCAATCTAAATTAAAATGGTTTGCTCCCTATGCAACAACAGCTTCAAGATGAGTCCCCAAACCTCTCTATCTTCCACCAGAAAGCTACTCTTAAGGCCAACCCATCTGAAACACTGGGGCCACCTTATTTTCATCAGAGACCCAGCACGCAGCAGGTCCTAGAAAAAAATACATAGAATTGAATTTACCTGCACCCCTTCCCCTCCTGGCTGCCCCTCCCAGCAAGTGGAGGTGCTCCTGCTAACCCTTCTCTCCTCCTTGATTATAGGGGGCCATCCTCTGGACACCCCACACCTTCCACGGGAGCTGCCTCCGGGACTCACAAAAAATATTAGTAAGGATTTTTGAACATTTCTTAGGCGACCTCACCAGGTAGAAAGTTGTCTAGGATATTGGCAGGGAGAATGACCCCCTCTGAATATACCACTCACTGCTGGGGTCTTGTAGGCAAAGCGATTCAAATAAGATTCAAAAGCCTCCCCCTCTGCAGTCTCCCCTGTGTCTGACCCACCTCTGCTCTCTCCTTGGAGACAAAATATTACAACTTCCATCAAATGAAGGTTAGTTGAAAAGGGAACAGGGGATGGAAAAAAATGGGCCAATCGTGAGGGTTATATGGTCACAGTATCTTAGCTCCAAATTGAGCTCTGAGCCTTCTAGAAGGTAAGACAAAAAGAGAAAGAAAAGGTATTCCAGAGCTCTACTGATAAGAAAAGAGGACCCCTAATTGTTCCTTTGGGAAGGGGAGGTTTTCCTGGTGATAGATTGTGAAGATTTCTCAGGTGGGTTTCTAGCTGGGTACTGCTAAAGACCATGATGCATAGTGAACCAGCTGGTCGCGTTGGCCCCCAATTTAGGATTCATTTCCCACCTTGCAGAGAAGTGAGCTGAGTCACCAAGTTCTTTGTGCATGAGCCCATGCAAACAAAGTGATCAGTCCCACCCAGACCCAGATGACCATCTGACCTCTCTCAAAATGCCATCACCCCCATGAGAAGTGCAACACCCAGGCCAAAGAGAACCTCTAGTAGATGTTAAGACTCACAGGCCACACTTGGCACTTGGAAAGATCAAAGCCAGAAAGCCCTGTGTGCCATCAGGCCATGCCAGTCATTCCTTTTCAAGGAGAGTGGCCCCGGGGGTGATCCCCACATCTCCTTGGAGCCCCCAGGGAGCAGCGCAGGTACAAGGGAATGGGGCTCACGTGAAGCAGCCACAGGACCTGCCCTGGCCTAGAAGCTTCAGTCTCTATTAGAACTAGTATCTCTAGTAACAGTTCCATAGGTATAATTTCTGGGATGCCCAGAAAAAGCATGCTTCAGTTGCAAGCGTTATCACACTGAGGGAGCCCCCAGACAATGACTTCCCACCAGATATTTATAGTTCACCCATGGTGCTTGCCAAGTCCAGATACACCTTATCATCCAGGGTCTTTTGTACCACCGAGCGATGTTGCCTGGTAACACAGTTCCCGTCTCATCTTCTTGGGTCTCCATGGTAACCCATGTTACTAAAAAGTTAGTCCAAGGTCAAATTTATCCTTAGAGAAAGAGAAAGGGTTTTACTTACTCTTCGCAGGGGTGGGGCAGGGTGAGGAGGCTGGGCAGGGGAAGGGGAGAAACCACAGCTCTCTGATTTGTTTTCTCTACCTTCCACTCAGATATCACATCCTTCCCTGGGGTGTTTAAAAATGTGGAAAGTGTGGCCGACATTTTTGGTAAGTTAAATACCAAGGTGCTTCTATCCACCAGGTGTCAGGGCATGGGGTGAGTGTGGGAAATCTGAGCAAATTACTGGGCTTTGGGTTCCCCTGCTTCTGCCACCCCAGCAAGCTCTGAACTGTGTGATCCAGAGAGTAGTGGTGTCTTTTACTGCAGGATGAGTCACCAAGCTGCCAGGCGCCTTCATAGTCCTTACTTCCTTAGTCCTGACCACACCACAACCTGGCCAGGAAGGGAAAGGTACCCCTGTTGCACAGGGGAGGGACTGAGGGGAGTTATGTGACATGCCAGGAAGGAGGGAGCTCTCTTCTGTGTCCAGAGCTGAGTCCCCTCCACCAAAGTTGTTGGATTTTCTCTCCCCAACTACTAAATGTACAAGGTAAAATATACATACGTAAAGCCTAAGAATCCCAGAGATTTCCAAGTATTCCATTTCTCAATTAGGTATCTATCATGTGACCAGCAATTGCCAGGCACCACAATGGTTCCCATCATTGCTTTCTAGAAGTAGCCCCAAAATAAGGCTATCACAGGATTGACAGGAGCAAAGAGCGCTGAACTGCTATTGGATTAGACCATGTTTGCCAGAGGACGGCACTGAAAATATGTAGGTGACTAAGTGTGGGTGCCCCGTATGTTACTGAGTGAAAATGAGTATTTATATAAACACACACAAACCTTAGAGTGGCTTTTTCCTTCGGTACAGAATTATTTCTTCATTTTTCTGATTATGCTATGTGGAAACAAAACACGGGAAAGGAAGTTTGAATGGGGTAGGAAAAACTAGAATAGTCTGGGTGAAATTAGTCCTCGCAGACCACTCTTTGACCTCCCCAAGCTTCCCCGTGTGTGACCCTGTGCATTAGAATCAGGGCTATGGGGTCACCCTGTTAGCACTTAGCAGTCCTCTGATCAGAAAGGCGGAGAAAGGGGAGGGTGAGCGTGCAGCTTAAAGTAAAAATCAAAAACAAAACAAAACAAAAACAAAATCGTTCTCTTGCCAATTTTGTTTGCAGGAGCATTCTTGTTGAGGGCAAGTCATTAGCACTGGTTGATACCTCAGGCAGATCTCTGACCTTCAGTTTCTTTATCTGTGAAATAGAAGTGACAGAATAGCATCTGCCCTGCAGGATTAACATGAAGTTTATGCGGTGATGGACCAAGTGAATGCTTTCTAAAGTGTAACTCACTAGCAATCTTAACCATTATGCTATTTTAAGCATCTAGCACAATTTCTGGCACATAGTAGGGGCCCCAAATTATTAGTGTCTATATCCCCTCTCTTCCTGCACTGGATTACAGTTCCCCAGTGCTGGGACTGTATCATTTGGGATCCATTCAGCAGACTCATAGTGACTTAAATAACAAAGACATTTAATTATCTCACCAAAGCTGAAAGCACCAGGATTGGTGCAGGAGCTTAACACAGGTATCAGCGACCCAGCAGCCTCATTTTTTCCCCACTGCTATAACTAAGTTTACTGGCTCTTCAACTTTAGACTTTGGGCCTCATGGTGGCAAAATAGTTGCTGCAGTCCTGGCCAGCATATTCTTACCCATATTTAAGGAAGAAAGGTATAGATCAAAAGGATCTCTTTACATGCCTGCATTCTCTCTCTCTCTCTCTCTTTTTTTAAGATTTTATTTATTTATTTGACAGAGGCAGACAGCGAGAGAGGGAACACAAGCAGGGGGAGTGGGGGAGGGAGAAGCAGGCTTCCCGCGGAGCAGGGAGCCCGATGCGGGGCTCGATCCCAGGACGCTGGGATCATGACCGGAGCTGAAGGCAGATGCCTAAAGACTAAGCCACCCAGGCCCCCTACATGCCTGCATTCTTTATTATGAAAAAAATAATTCCCAAAAACCTGTAACAGACTTCCTCTTAAGTTTTTCTGGCCAGATCTGGGTCACGTGCTCAGTCCCAGGCCACTCACTGTCACGGAGCCTGGGATTAGCATGACCAGCTGAGAATGAGCAAGTGTCAAACATCCACAGGGATTTAGGGAGGAGGCTCACCTCCCCTGAGTCTCTTTCAGCTTTGTTGGTAAGGGAGAAGGATTAAATGACTGTTTGTTAGGGGGACAACCAACAGGGGCCATGGCTTATAAACCCACCTCCCTTCAATTGTCCAGAACAGTTTTGAGTATACAGTAGGGGCTTAGTAGGTTGCGGAGGTGTGGGAAGTCCCGGGCACAGGGGCTCCTTCCTTGACCCTGGTCTCCAGTCCCCTCCCCGCTGTCCTCTCCCCGCAGACTGCCTGGGCTCCCACTTCACCTGGCTACAAGCTGTCTTCACCAACTTCCCTGCGCTGCTCCAATTTGTGAGTGGTATGAAGTGTGTGGCCAGTCTCTGCCCCCGGGACTTCGAGGACTATGGCTGTGCCTGCAGGTTTGAGATGGAGGGGTCGCCTGTGGACGAGTCTGACAGGTGAGCCACATCCACAGGTGAGCTGTCAGAGGCCTGGCTGGTACCTGGGCAGAGCACAGATGTGGAAAGCTTTCTTGTCTTGTCTTGATTCTCCTTATATGTGGGGCGACTGGCTGCCTCACCTTTAAACTGCAGTGTATTCTGTGATTTTCTCACATCCTGGGGAGTTGTCAAGATCCTGTGTGTGTCTGATACGCAGAATTTGTGTGGTGTTTCTCCAAGTTGGGTCTACCAGTATCAGAACCACCTGGATGCTTGCTAAAATGTAGATTCCAGGGACCCCTCCCAGACCTACTGACTCAGACCACCTTTAGCTAGACCCTGGAAGTCTGAATTTCAAACAAGCTTCCAGGTGACTCTTAAACATAAGAAAATTATTCTTTATTCAGATAGTCTTGGCCACCAGGGGTAAAGCAACTATGAAGGTTTCTGTTTAATTTTCCACAAACATGCTCCAATAACATTTGAACACTGTGCTTAATAGAAGCAGAATACTATCCCTGCTTCAAAGAGCTAAACAGCTAGCGGGGAATACAGAGAAGATACGAGGAGTCAGTAAAGATATGTGCCCTCCCTACACACAGGGAGGGAAATTAACACAAGATATCCACTTTTACACATCAGACTGGCAATAAAATTTAAAATCTGAGAAGCATCGAGTGTCAGCAAGGATCTGACAAGCAGATACTGACACTGGGAGGGTCAGTTGGGAAAATTGGGTAGAATCTGTGTGTTACCTATGACCCTGTAATTCGGGCTCTCTGCTCCTTACAGATGGGGTGACCCCTGGGCGAGTTACGTCATTTCTTTGTGTTCCAGTTTCTTCCTCTGTAAAATGGAGGAAGTCATAATACCTTCTTTATAGAATTATTATTTAGGATTAAATGACCAAGTAAACAGTACAGTGACTGGGACTCTGCCTGGCTTATTGAGTTTACTTACTGAGAGTATTAGTGATTGGTTGCAAGGGTAACAGGAATAGTGGGGCTATAGTAGGTAGTGATGACAGTGGTAGTAACAGTCATAGTAGCAGTCTCAGTAGGGCTGTCGTACTAGTGCTAGTAGTAACAACAGCAGCAGTAACAGTTGTCCTGGTAGCCGAGGTAGGATTAATACTGACGGTAGTGGTAATGGTAATAATAGCAATGTCAGCAGCAGTATTGTCAGCTATGGTAGCAATATTAGTAATGCTGTAGAAGTACTGGTAACAACAGCAGCAGTAACAGTTGTCCTAGTAGCTGAGGTGGTATTAATGCTGACACTAGAGGTAATGGTAGTAATAGCAACATCAGCAGCAGTATTGTCAGCTGTGGTAGCAATATTAGTAATGCTGTAGAAGTAGTGGTAACAACAGCAGCAGTAACAGTTGTCCTGGTAGCTGAGGTAGTATTAATATTAACGGTAGTGGTAATGGTAGTAATAGCAATGTCAGCAGCAGTATTAGCAGCAATAGCTTTAGCACTATTAGTAATGTTGTAAGTAACAGTAGCAATAGCAGCAGTAACAGTTGTCACAGGAGCTGTAGCAGTAATAACAGGAGCAGCAGTAGTAATGGTAGTAATAGCAACAGCAACACCAGTCCTAGTAGCAGCACTAGCAGAGTGTAGTAATGACAGTAATAACAGTGATTGCAGCCATAGTGACAGCAACAGCACCGGTGGTAGGAAAGCAGGAAATGGAACCCACATCTCTCCCCATACTCCGGGATCCATGGCCCTACCTCACTGGTGTGGTACTTGTGCCCGAAGCCAGTGTGATGGAGTGTGCGCTCTCATAATACTGGGAAGGACAGCCCATTGTCTGCCCTGGCATTTCTCCGGGTAAACTCCATGCTCCTCAAACACCTGTGCTTCCCTGTCCTGCACCGGCCACATGGGACAATGCATGCACATGGTCTCCTGCTCCACCCAGTGTCCTCTAAGGGGGGTCTGCACCATGTTATTTCTTTGCGCCCCCAGCATGGACCACAGCACGGGGTAAATTAACTCGCACTAGGCAGTCAACCCCCAATTGCTTTTCAAGTTAATTAATTAGTTAAATAAAAAAGGATATATCCTTGATTGATCAGGGATAATGGCTTTGGAATCAAGCAATAGATCTCTCCCATTTCCACATCTCCAAGAGAGGGTGTAAGTTGCCTCTAGATCAGAAGGGCATTTCCCGTCTTTGGGACCATGAGCAAACTGCCTCCCGGCGCTCAGCTCGTTGATGCTCAGAAAGAGAGAGTGTGATCCTGAATGCAGCAGAGTGTCAGGATGGTTTCTGGGAATTTGTTACCTTTCAGGTCCTCCCTTACCACTTCCTCTAATTATTAGAATACCTTGTCAACCTGGAAGTCAAAGAAATGAAGCAGTAATTCAGTGTCTGAATGATGAAACTACTGATGGCCCCAAACTGGCAGAATAATGAGCCACACCCAATTTCTATGACTGTACACAGTTCAGTTGTTGGGGGTGTGGATTTCCAAACACCTGGAGGACTGGTCATTTCCACCTTGAACCTGCACACCAGATTCAAAGAATAATTGCTATCATTTATTGAGTGCCTACTTCAGGGCAGGATCTATATAGATGTTTTCTTGAATCTCCAAAAATTCTTGAGTTAGGTAATTTGAGAAAGTTAGTAGCTTGTCCAAGGCCATCACCTGTCTGTATATTTTTTCTCTTTTACACTGGTCTCCACTGACCTCATGTGTGCACTGCAAGAGCCTCCTGACTCCCATTTTTAGCGTCAGCCTTGCTCTGTGATCAACTTTGTCCTTGGCAAGTTATTGAGCACTATGAGTCTCAGTCCCCATGGGTGTAAATGCTCATAATAATAGCACCTGCTGTGTAGGTAAAATAACTCAAATAGTGTGTGTGTGTGTATGTGTGAGAGCACTATTTGAAACAGGTCACTGCCAGGAATCATCCAGAGACACAACAATCACAGACTCTCCTCTCTTCACCCTCCCCCATGCTCTCACCTTGACCTCCCCTGCCTGCCCCAGCTGCTGCTTCCAGCACCGCAGGTGCTATGAAGAGGCCGCTGAGATGGACTGTCTCCAAGACCCTGCCAAGCTCAGCACAGATGTCAACTGCGTCAGCAAGAGGATCACATGTGGTAAGCATCTCCAGGTGTCCCCGGGGGCTGGGCTGAGAAATGACAGACAGTTCAAGGATCCCAGGCCTGGTGCTCAGTCGTTAAGCGTCTGCCTTCGGCTCAGGTCATGATCCCGAGGTCCTGGGATCGAGCCCCATATCAGGCTCCCTGCTCGGTGGGAAGCCTGCTTCTCCCTCTCCCACTCCCCCTGCTTGTGTTCCCTCTCTCGCTATGTTTCTCTCTGTCAAATAAATAAATAAAATCTTAAAAAAAAAAACAAAGAATCCCAGGCCTGGACCAGACCCAGGGCTCCAAGGGTACCCCCTCATCATCACCACCATTGCAGACATCATCACCTATACTCCAAGCCCCACGAGGGCTAGATCTCTGGCATCTGTACCTTGCAAGGAGTACATGCACAATAAATGCTTTTTGAAATGAAAGAATAATTGATAGGCAGGTTATTTGATTTAAAGTTTTATAACTGTAGCAACCCTGGGAGCCTGGGAAGGCAGATGGTTTTCTACTGATACATTGTGTGATAGAGGAGCAGTTACTCAACAAGTGGCAACCTCTACATGGGGAGGAGAAAACCTGCTTCAGAGATTTGTCATAAAAATTAAACAAGGCTTCGGAGTAAAACAGTGCTACACTTGTTAAATGTAAACAGTGCTAAGTGTAAAACAGTTAACACAGGGACTGACCTATGTGAAGAAGTCAGGGTTGAAGTGGAAGAGAGGCAGGGATGGATGAATTAGGTTTGTGGTTGCTGCTGTTTGTAGGAATCAGACATGTTGATGCAAATCTCAGCTCTCCACCTTACTCACCAGGGATTTTGTCTTGTGTCTCTGGGCAATCCTGGCAGAAGAATTAGAAGAGACAAAGGCACAGAGAGAAGAGGTGCATGGCACCTTGGGGGTACTCTATGAGAGCCGCCCTTTATGAGCACCTACTATGTGCCATAGGCTTTATACCCAGCAGATATAATTGTCCCAACAATCTTATGAGATGGGGTCACTATTCCCAGTTTTCAGATAAGGACAGGGAAGCTCAGAGAAATTAAATAACTTGCCCAAAGTCACATAAGCTGCTAAGTGGTAGAGTCAGGGTTTGAGCCCAGGTTCAACTGACCCCAAAGACCAGGTAGCAAGGACTGGCTGAAGTATGGTGCATCGGGAAAGAGGTGAGGAGATGCATGGGCATAAATCACTACACGGTGGACAGGAAAAGCACCATCCATCCATCCATCCATCCATCCATCCATCCATCCATCCGTCCATCCAGCAGATGCATACTGAGCGCCTACACCAAGTGCAAGACAATCATCTAGATATTGGGGATATCCTGACCTTCTGAAATCTCCTCCTGGCTGCCAGAAAATATCAAAGTGCTAGAGTACTTTAAACAGTGACAAGTGCCATGGAGGGAAATAAAGCAGGGGAAAGGCATAGGGAGGGCTGGGCAGGGAAGGTTCCCCGAGGAGATGCTTGCAGAGCAAAGACTGAGGCATGGGGGAGAAGCAAGCCGGCAGCTATCTGGGAGGTGCATGCACCCCCAAGCTCAAGGTGTCTGGCTTGCTTGGGAGACAGGCCAGTCAGTCAGAAAGGGGTGATGAGGGAGGAAAGAGAACAGGAACAGCAGCTTTTCCATTGATTGGGAAGTCATTGCAGGGTTCTGAACCCCCAAAAAGACATGGCTTGCCCTGAGTCCTGAACACCTTGTTCTGGCTCCTCCATGAGAGTGGACAGGAGCAGGGTGGGAAGGCCACTGACATAACTCAGGCACGAGCTGATGGGGGCTTAGCCCGGGGTAGTGGCGTGGAGGTGGCGACATGTGGTCACACTCTACACAGGTCAAAAGTAGAGCCAATAGGATGGCCCGAAGGGTCGGATGTGGGTGTGAGAAATGGAGCCGGCGCCACTCCCAGGTTGGGCACTATGCAGCTGCAGCTCACGGAGCCAAGGTGGATAACAGGAGGACGCCTGCAGGAATAGTGGGGCCTCGGTGGGCAGATTGGGGCCGGTTTGGGAGCTTGCATTACCTCTCAGGATTCCAAATGAGATTTTCCAATCTGCTTTGCCCTTGCTCTGTGCACAGAGTCCGGGGACCCTTGTGAGTACCTGCTGTGTACCTGCAACAAGGCTGCCATAGAATGCTTGGCTCAGTCCAGGATCAACTCTTCCCTGAACCATCTGGACACTTCCTTCTGTCTGGCTCAGCCTCCAGGTGGGAAGAACCGGTTCCCACATCAGCGGTGGGGCTGACCATCTGGGGCGGGAGCTGCTATGGGAGCAGTAGTTGCTGTTTCTTCAGAAGCCAGTCCAGCACCTTCTGACAGTCCCCCGACCCGCTGCTCTAAACAGGCTTTCCAATGTGTCTCTTTGCAGAGACAACCAGCACAGAAGAGCTGACGACGCTTCTGCCCAGAGGTAAGGTCTACCAGGGAAGCTGCTTTTACTTGGACCATGGGAGCCAGACTACAGAGGGAGCACCCCCTCTGCGGGGCCTGCTGGAGTGACCCACGGCACTGGCTAGATCTCGGCCTTTCTCGGGCCAGGGGACACCATTACTTCTGGATTAACCCAGTTCACACATCCAATAGCAAATGGCCCTCCTGCAAACACTGTTCTTTGTTACGTGGACAGATGAGCATTTAATCCAGTTAAGAGGTAGACCCCAATTCTTTCTTTCTTGCTCTATGGTCAGGGCCCTGGTTTGCGGTGTGACCAGGACCAGGTCTAGTGATATGACAGAGAAAGGCCTCTCTCAGCTGGATGAGCTCCTGGCCATTGAGGTCGCCCGGGAGCAGACCAGCTGCCTCCCTCCTCTATCTTCCAGAACCTACGGCAGAGAGGGCAGCCTGGACCCAGATGGAGTCTTCTTGAAGGGGAGGCTGTTTTCTGTGTGCCTCCTTTTAAGACGGTGGGCTCTTAATATCTGTCTACTGAAATAAGCAAGTGATCATGCGAGAGTTCAGCTTCTGCCTGTTATTCCTTGTTCACCAGTGTTCACACGATCTCTCAGTCCCAACGGAAAGTTCCAGGTGCACGTTGGCAGAGCACCCCTCCTTCCCTGGGGCTGGGGTCTCCTTCCCAGTGCTGTAGCCTTTGTTAAGAAGCTGATACCAGTGCATCCACATGCATGAGTGTGCATGCGCACAGGGCTGTGGGAATGTGTACATGTGTGAGTAGGAGTGTGTGTGTGTGCCCTACCTCTGTGTATCTTCTGAGTCTGGCGCTCTTTTTTCTGTGCCATCTGGTTCCCTTTGGAACAGAGGTCTTCCCAGGTAGGGATGTCCTGTTCCACAGCCACAAACCCTCGGGGTCTGCAGACCTTTCATTGCCACAGCCTGGGTCTGCTAGTGTCACCTCCCCTACCAGAAGCCAGAACTGGCTGGAGTCCCTCCTGAGCCAGGGTCCTGCTGGGCAGCCTGAGCCCCAGGAGATGTACGAGGGGCAAGGGAAGCCTAAGACAGAACCAGCAGCCCTTTTCTGGCAACACTGCTCACAGCTCCCTTCCTCCCTTGGTCCAGCAGTCCCAGCTTGTCCTTTGGGACTCGTGGTACTTGGTTTAGACACTCGGTTCCATCAGTCACTGATTTGGGAGCTTTCTTTTTCAGTGGTTCCCATGGAGCCCACAGACACCAGTGCAATGGCCCTTTCAGGAGAAGGTGAGCACAAGGGGGCCAGTGTGTAATCCAGATACCCACGTTTTGATCGTACCATCCGCCTACTAGCTGGAATTAGCTTCCCTAAAATGCCCCTTGCCCAGGTTTGCATTGAAACTGCCCCAAGATCATTCCAGAGCCAATCTCAGTTTCTCTTGACCCCCCAATATCTCCTGTCTATGCTCTGCTTTCTCCCACACCCCTACTCCCACTTCAGTAGAATTGTCAGATGCAGGACATTCACCCTCAACCATCTGAAGTTGCTTTTCAATGAACAACAAATACTTTTTTAAGTATAAGTATGTCCCAGAATTTGCATGGGATATACTTATACTAAAAGGTGATTGGTTGTTCATGTGAAATCTAAATTTAACCAGGCATCCTGTATTTTTATTTGCCAAATTTGGCAACCTTATGCCTCAGGGAGATCCCTCTACACAACCACCTCCCCAAAAGTGTGTTATCGCTCTCCTTGGCTCCTGCTATGAGAAGAGAAGCAGATGCTCTTGGTGCATCTCCTTCCTGGCTGTCCTCCATGTCCAAGGGCATCGCATCCCTGACAGCTCCCAGACAGCCTGTGCCTTGGACACCAGGTCTAGAAAAAAGACGAAATGACACCTACTCCAAGCCAAAGCTTCACCACGCGCCCTGCCCACACAGCAACCATTCCCAGCAGGACTGACAGGGGCCGCGTCCATCCTAAACTGAGGACAAATTTATCCCCCAACACACATGCACTCACACCCATGACCTAGCAGTGCCCACAAATGCCCTCCAGAAAAGGAGGCAGCCTGAATGCAGGCACAAACACCAGTTACGAAGGAAAAAGGTAGAGGGCTCGGGATTGTTCTCACCATAGTGGAATGAAACAATTATGTTTTGGACTCAGGCAGCTTTGGGATGGAATCCTGGCTCTCCCACTTTTCAGCTGCAGGACTCTGGAAGCATGGTTCGACCTCTCAAAGCTTCAATATCTTCATTTCGGACAGCAGGGATTGGCAATTTTTTTTTTTTTCTGTACTGGGCCAGAGAGTAAAAATTTGGGGCTTTGTGGGCCATACAGTCTCTGTCACAATGACCCATATCTGCCATTGTAGTGAGACAACAGCCATACACAATCCATTACTGGGGGTGTGCCTGTGTTCATCTGAAGCTTCATTTACAAAAACAGCTTGAGGTCTAGGCCATGGTGTACCAACCCCTGGAAAGGGATGGTTACACCTGTCCTTCAGGGTGGCAGGGGATTAAATGAGAGAGAACATGGGAAGATTCTGGACCAGCATCTTCTTCAGGAATTCTGGTGTGGTGGTAAAACACAACAATGCACTCTCGAGTCGCATGCAGGACACTGCACAACTTGTTTAAAATACGTGATCTCATTTCTTGCTCTCACAGCCCTGTGAAATCATTTCCAAAACCTCCACACTGAGATGGTACATGGATTTGGAGAAAGAAATGGTCCAAGACTGGGAGCTGGGTGGCAGGGCTGGGGCTTGAGGCCTCCACCGCGTCTGTCTTTACCGCTAGACCGAACTCCCTCTTAAGCTGCGCTCCCCCGTGGACTTGCTCCAGCAAGGGGGGACATGATGGCCCTTTCTCCCAGAGAGAGGTCTCTTCACCCAAACATAGGCCTGATGCTAATCTGGCCCCTTGTCACTGAATTAGGACCGATGTGTCAATTAATGTTCCTGATCAGACTGCCATGAGCTTTCTCTCCTGGGCCCCCCAGTCCCAAAGCTGTCTTGTTTGCAGGGGATCCCTGCCTGGCTTACGTGCTGAGCTGGGTGGACAACTGAAGTAGAGTGGTTTCTTTCCACAGTGGCTACTGGGACCAATGCTGCCCACTGACCAGTCCCTCCAGGACAAGTAAGCAGGGCAGACTCCACTGGACCCCAGCACGGAATCCAATGGAGACATGCCTTCTTAATACACATGTTCAGTTCTGATGACCACTCTTCGACAGGCTTGGAAGAAATACCAGTAGACCTATTTTTCAGATGATGAAGGACACGGAGGCTCTGGGAGGTTAAAAGTTACAGATGGTCCACCATGAGACCAGCTGGACTAGTCTCGAGCCTGTCCTCGGGCTGCAAGACTGGTTTTGTCTCCATGATATGGTAGTGACTTATGGGGAACAGCCTCGCACCTGAAAACATCTAGGCAAGGTTGTCATCAGAAGTGACCTAACCATTTACTTTGCTTGTGGTGATGAATAACCACGGATTCTTTATTAATAAGCATAAATCACTCATAATAACCATTTACCAATTACTAAGAATGAAGAGATAAACAAATGGATTCCTTGATTAAGAGGCAGGGACTCCAGGGAGGACCTTGGTGGGCTGGTGTGTTCCTAAGCCCCTCCATATAGCCTCTAAGTTCTCCCCCTAGTCCTAGGAGGCCCATTTGACAGATAAAGGAGGCACCCTAAGAGGCCGTTGTTTGCCTGGGGTAATAGGGCATAGAATTCTGTTAGTTCTGAACCTGAGCATTTTGCTTTGAAGAGAACCATCTGCTCGGTTTAGAACCTTTGACGTTCTATCTCTTTGCTGGAGCACTTTTGTATGTCCACATCATCAGTCGGCCTCTAAGCCCGATTTCCACAGAATACCATCATAATCTTGATCTTTGACACACTCAATTTAAGGCAGGTCCTTCCTTCCCCAAGCCTGTTGGAGTTACCGTCATTAGCTCTCTGTGGTACAGTCAGAAGAGAAGTAGCAGCCCAGCTCAGTGGTTAGGACTATCAGCTATAGCCCTAGGGTTGCATTTTGCCACTTCCTAGCTCCATGACTTAGAACAAGTGACCTGTGTTTTCTGTGTGTCCCCTTTCTCAGCTCTGAGTGAGGGTGAGGTGGTTGTTGAGTTGGTACAAACCACGCGCTTTTAATGCTGTATCTGGCATGTAGGTATGTCTTTGTCCGTTCTGGCTGCTACAACAAAATATCACAGACTGAGTCACCTGTGAACAACAAAACTTCTCTCTCATGGTTTCTAGAGGCTGGAAGTCCAAGCTCAAGACACCAGCATGGTCAAGTTGGGTGAGGCCCACTTCCTGGTTCATAGACAGCCACCATCTTGCTGTGTCCCCACATGGTGGAAGGAGCCAGGGAGCTCTGTGGGGGCTCTTTCATAAGGGCATGAATTCCATTCATGAAGGCTCTACCCTCATGACCTAATCACCCTCCAAAGGCCCCCGAGACCATCCCACCGGGGATTAGGTTTCAACACATGAATTTTGGGGAAACACAGACATTCAGTCTACAGCATAGTAGGAGCCTAATAATGGTTAAACAATAACGGACTCATTTTACCAAGAACCAGGGCTCAGCAGTCTTTTGGGAGCCACAGAGCAGGGAACTAGAATCCACAATTCGGCTGCCTTATTTCTCTTTGTTCAAAAATATGTGATTAAAAAAACTTTTTTTTTGTTTAAACTCCAGAGAAGTCTGCTTTCCTAAAGTATTTCAAAGATGCACCAGCTTCTAGCCCAGCAGGCAGCAGCTGGCTTTGCCACCATGTCTGTGTCTGGGGAGGGCAGTCTCTTTGGCTTAGCAGTGATCCTGCCATCACCAGCTCCCCTGGGAGGTGAAGAGGCACAGAGCAATGTTGCCTCCTGTGCCCATGGGATGGGAACTGCTCCGGATACCAAGGTGGGACAGGCTGGGGTCAACACTCACCCTGTCTCTCTTCTGTTGTGGGCAGAAGCGGTCCAAGACCAGAAAGGCACGGAAGCCACTAGGACCACATCCTCTTCAGGTAAGCACACTCGGCTCCTCCCACCTGTGGGTAATGGCTGTCCCTATACGTTTATGAGCTCAAGTGTGTTCTAAAACATGGAAGAATCATTGAGAGTAATTTACTTTTATGTTGCCTCCACTCCCAAAGTAGACAAATGAAGTTAAAAGGCAGATTCTTTAGTAGAAAGAAATGGAACCCTACCTGATAAAGAGACACATTTAGAAAAATATAGGAAACTGTGTTTTGTTTTCTATTTAAATCACCAGTACTTCCATGTTATACAGATAGCCACTTTTACTATCTGAAGGCTCTCCCTTCTGTCATCTCCTGCCTGCCCAAACATATCCATGAATGTAATTAAAATACATTTGAGATCACTTGGCACCACGGCTTTGTAGTCTGAGCTGTATCGCTTAAAAAATGAGATGATATTCCCTGACATTAAATATCTTTCTATAACATGATTTTCAGTGGTGGCCATACCGTAGTTTCTGGTGTGGAATATCATAATGCATTTAGCCAATTATTTCTAACATTTGTTCTTATCCATGATAGATATACACTTTATACCCATCCACTTCTGATTAATTTGTCACAGTAAATGTCTAGAAATTGAATTACTGAGGGTGTAATCATTGTGTGTATCCATACAATACGTATGTATCCATATGTTGCCAAATTGCCCTAGAGAAAATTCGAAACAACTTACCCTCATACTTGTATCCCATGGCCTACTATTATTTAAAAGCAAGTGAACAAAAACCTCTACCATGTTAATAGAAAAAACCCACAGTAGCTCATTTCTCCCCCTTCTCCTCTCTGACGAAAATTGAAAGTCCTGCTTTTTGTACCCGAGCTGGGCTGGCCTCTCACTCTGGGAGTTTTGGACCAGGCCTGGACAGAATTCCTGTATCTTAACCGAATTTATGGAGATGGGTCACCAGTGTCAGAGCTAAGGGCATTGAGACTTGGGCCAACTTTGCCCTCAGGTGCACAGTGACCTTCTCAGCTGGGGGTGCAAGGGCAAGAGGAATCTGTTCCCCAGATGGGGCGGCCATTCAGGAAGAGTGATGAATGCTGCGTGCCCCCATCTAAGGGGATGAGGTGGGGTGCCTCACGTTTGATTAGCACCAAGAATCCGGAGAGTTCTTGCTCAGAGGGTGAGGGCTTCTAGAAGGACACTCAGACTCAGCAAGGAGCACACACGGACTTCTGGGGCTCTCTCTGCTTGTCGAGGTTTCCGCCTGGAGTCTTCACCCCAGATCAGATGTGTCTTCACACTCACTGAGTGATCCTAATGGCTGCTCTTGACTCTTTCCTCCTTGCTAGGCATTTAGCCAGAAGGATTATTCAAACACCAAAACAGTTATTATTAATATAGTTTTATAAATGGGGAAATCAAGACTGAGAGAGGCTAGTGATTTGCCCAAGGTCACATAGCTAGTACGTGGCTGAGCCAAAATGCACACTCAGATTTCCTTAGTGGTTCTTCCCACTCCACTCTACTGACTGGGTGAGTTTTCTCAAAAAGAAACAGAGCCAGGTGTTTGTTAAAGGTGGAAAGACAGATTTTACTCAGGTTTCCGTAGCAGGGAAGAGAGACTCGTGGGTAACCATGTTCAACTCTGATCTGTATGGAGGTGACTGGGCCTTTTAGAGGGAAAATGGGAGGGTGGACAACAAGCCAGAAGTCCAGCAGAATCAGGGGAGGGGAAAATTCCAAAAAAGGGATAGGGGGCTGTTTTCTGAAAACTTAGGCAAGGTCAGTGTGGGTCTCAAGCTGTAAGTTCTTTGGGCTGCCTTGAGCTTTCTTGGGCAGGAAGTCAAGGGGAAGTGGGAGGGTGGGTCATCCCAGGGAAACCAGGCTGGGGTTGGTCTAAGTCTCCTAGTGTGGGGGCGTTGATGAAATAGTCTGTGCCGCGAGTTTGCAGTTCTCATAGGCCAAGTTTGAGGCCTGGTTGAGAAGAAGGCCCAGAGGAGCCTGTCTAAAGTCTGGTCAAGGAAAGAGTCTGTCAGCTCCCAGCAGTCTGGAGCATGGTGGAAATGAACCAGTTCACGGGTTTCTGTTGTGGGACTGGAGAGGGGGTGGGGCATGATGTTAGTTAGACCCAGAGGACTGAGGGTACAACAGGGTCACTAAAGCCCTGCTCCCACCCCCCAGGGAATAGAGCACTGAGCAAGGACATGGAAGCCCAGAGGTATGAAGCAAACCAATATGGGCAGGTTTGGGGAGACACTGCCAGTCAGGGGGCCCCCGAGATGCCCAAGCTCCACCCAGTGCTCTGGGTCTGCAGACGGTGGGGCAGAGCCTCCAAAGCTCCCTTTGGCTGGAACCGACTGGGTTGGAGGTGTCACTGCCTCTGGTCAAGAGAACAGGTGGGACCGACACAGAGCCAAAGGAGATCTGGACGGCCTGGCACTTAATTTAGACTATGATGAGAAGGTCTTCCAGGATTCCCAGGAGTTCAAGGCGGGTTGTGCTTGCCTACGTTACTGAGCACCAGGAGTTGGCTTCATTTCTCCACCGTTCTTATCTCTTCACTTGTGAACACCATGCTAGGTCTCCGCTTGGCAGGAGCGTGGTAGTAAATATGACATAGGCTGGGACAGTCCTGGCCACAAGATGTCACACAGCTGGTCTATCATGGGCTCCTGTCCGATGTAACGTTATCACAGAGTATGTGTTTGTTATATTTATGTTCCATTTACTTACTTAATATTTTAGCACAATATGTTTCATTTATGTATTTTTGTTTCAAATTTTTATTTAAATTCTGGTCAGTTAGCATGTGTAATATTGGTTTCAGGAGAATTCAGTGACTCATTACTTACATATAACACCCAGTGCTCATCACAAGTGCCCTCCTTAGTACCCAACCCTCATCTAGCCCACCCCCCACCCACCTCCTTCCATCAATCCTGTTTTCTTCTCTATAGTTAAGAGTCTCCTATGGTTTTCTCCCCTCTCTTTTCTTTTTCTTTCTTTTCCTTTCTCCTATGTTCATCTGTCTTGTTTCTTAAATTCCACATGAGTGAAATCATACGGTATATTTCTTTCTCTGGCTGACTTGTTTCACTTAACATAATACCCTCTAGTTCCATCCACATCATTGCAAATGGCAAGATTTCATTCTTTTTTGTGGCTGAGTAATATCCTATTGTATTTATACCACATCTTCTTTATCCATTCATCAGCTGATGGACTGGTGGACTTTAGGCTCTTTCCATAGTTTGGCTATCGTTGATAATGCTGCTGTGAATGTTGGGGTGCATATACCCCTTTGAATCTGTATTTTTGTATCCTTTGATAGTGCAATTGCTGGGTCATAGGGTAGTTCTGTTTTTAATGTTTTGAGGAACCTCCACACTGTTTTCCAGAGTGGCTGCACCAGCTTGCATTCCCACCAACAGTGCAAGAGGGTTCCCCTTTCTCTGCATCCTTGCCAACATCTCTTATTTCCTGCCTTGTTAATTTTAGCCATTCTGACAGGTGTGAGGTGATATTGTGGTTTTGATTTGTATTTCCCTCATGATGAGTGATGTTGAGCATTTTTTCATGTGTCTGTTGGCCATCTGGATGTCTTCTTTGGGAAAATGTCTATTCATGTCTTCTGCCCAATTTCTTAACTGGATTATTTGTTTTTTGAGTGTTGAGTTTGATAAGTTCTTTATAGATTTTGGATACTAGCCCTTTATCAGATATGTCATTTGCAAATATCTTCTCCCATTCCATCGGCTACCATTTATAGTTTTGTTGATTGTTTCCTTCTCTGTATCAGACTATTTGGAAATTCTCATGTAACATCTGTGGATCTGCAAGCCCAGATTAAGGATGCTATCCTAACACTTTGTTCTTCTGAAATATCTGCATTTGGGCTTGATCGTGTGTCCATCTGCAAACCTCTTCCTGAACTGCTTATTGAATATGAGCCATTATGTTGTGCATTTTCAGGATCTGCAGAGATTGCTGTCTCGATAAAAGGAGAAACCATGGGCCCCGCTGGTTTAAAATCTTTGGGCTTAACTGCGTCATCCATCAAAAATGGCCTGGAGGAGACAACTGGAAAAGGTGAGTGGGAGCAGGCAGAGAAACCTCTGTCCTCTCTCGGCCTTGAGATCCTCTGGATGGGTTGGTAACAAAGGTCCTTAGGCCATGGTCATACTGTGACCTCTTCATGTCAGTGCGACTACAGGGGACCACCCCTTGCCAGGTGAGGTCATGGGACACAGAGGGGACCAGACTTGCCTGTGGCCACTCAGCTGCTGAGCTGGGGAAAGGGGCCCACTGGCCTAATGCTCCCATCCCTCTTACTGGCCCCCAAGGGAAGAGCTTGGCACCGTGCACACCAGGTTGTTGGAAAGAAGGAAACACCTGGGCTTTCACTCCCTCCCCCTTCTCTCTCCTCTTCCCAGGGGCCCCACTAGTGGCCCAGCACCTGCAAGGAGCTATGGCCACAGAGGAGGGCTTTGTTAGTACCAGGCCAGCCCTCCGCAGCATGCACTACAGAGTGATGGAGAAAGCAGCATTTGAGAGGGAGGCTGGGCTGGGAGCTCTTCACAAGGCCCCTGGCTTCTTGGTTCCCCCCTGCCAACCCGCCACCGAACGTGTGATCATGGGGTCTGCACAGTGGACTGTAGCCAGGCTTGGCCAAAGTTGCAGGCAGAGAAGGCGGGGACAAGGGTGGAGAGGAGGGTGAAGGGGGTCAGAGGCAGAGAAAGAAAAATCAAGGGCTCTGAAGGCCAACCCAGGCAGAGTGTGCTAAGCTGCTGGAGTCAGGAGGTCTAGGAGGACAGACAGGATGCCCCCAGATGCTGGGCACTGCCCGGGCCTCAGTGGGACACGGTCATTCTACTCAGCAATCACATGTGGCCGAAGAGCACCTCTGGTCCTGACCAGCCCCCCACCCTTCAGGGGGGATTTAACCAGGAGTCTGGGCAGAGCTGTAGAAGCCTGGCAAGGAAGACTAACTCTCTGAAAGCCAACTCATGCCAGACGGGATGCCAGACAGGGGGACTAGCCTGTAGCAGCTTTCCCCGAAGAAGGGCAATGGGAGGCGAGGACACAGCGTTTCCTCGGATGTTCAGTACCCATCTGGATCGCTGCCTGCTGGTGTGAACTCTGTCCTGATGTCCCTGCTCTCCTGACAGCCCTGTTTCTCATCAGCCTGTGACAGGTTCACCTTCTTGTACCTGGGAAGCAGGGACAATGCATGGGTGATGCCTCAGCTCGGAGAGATGCTCTTCTGCCTGACATCCCGATGCCCAGAAGAATTCGAATCTTATGGCTGTTACTGTGGGCAAGAAGGACGAGGCGAGCCAAGGGATGCCCTGGACAGGTAGGGACGGGCGAGGGTGGCAGGCCAGTGGTGCTGACGCTGCCCTCCGTGGGAGGTGATAACTCTCCTCTCCAATGGGCATGGCTTCAGGCTTCACAGATAGCACTGTCTCACTCGGAACGGCTGCTCACCATCATGGGCAGCTGAGGCTCAGACTTGTCCACAGTCACTCAGCAGGGAAGGGGTGCAGCCACACAGATCCTGATCTGTCTCTGTGGGGTGGGGGCTCTTTGCCCTGCAGGGGGCCACATGAAAGTTAGCTTCTCAGTAACTTTTTAAAAAAAGATTTATTTACTTATTTTTAGAGAGATTGAGAGAGAGAGAGAGAGAGAGAGAGCAGTGGGGAGGGGCAGAGGGAAAGGGAGAGAGAGAGTCTTAAGCAGACTCCGTGCTGAGTGCGGAGCCCGACACGGAGCTCGATCCCACGACACTGAGATCATGACCTGAGCCTAAACCCAGAGTTGGACACTTAACCAACTGAGCCACCCAGGTGCCCCAGCTTCTCAATAACTTTTAAGTATAACTACTCAATCTTATATCTGCCACTCTTGGAAGAATTTTCAGGGACCTCGTGCATTGGTGAACCCATTCATTCATTCATGTATGCGTTCAACCCTCCTTTCTTCAGCTTTTGCTCTGTGCCAGGCACTATGCTGGGTGGTGGAGACACACAAATGGTTAAGCCTGAAGGAAGCAAAGGGAAAGAAACTCTCAGCATCCCCAGAGGAGCTGCCTGGTGCAGGAGATGGGCACTTCAACCAAAAGACCACCAACATCATAAATGCAGCGGTCAAAACAGGGGGAACAGTGGAGGAGTCAACCTAGACACGAGCTGCAGGAATATTCCAAGAGTAGAGTTGATAAGGCGTAAAGCCTGGCCACACATGGGGACTGTCCCAGCCCGTGGCCAGTGGGCTCTGCGCTCAAAAGGGGTAGGACCCTTGGGATGGTGGGGTTGCTGAAGGAAAATCCACAGCTGGAGTAGATACTGGAGACAAGGAGAAGACAAGGCCCAGTGTCGTTAATATGCAGCTGCAGTGATGGCAGGCACATGGGGCACATCACCTGCAGTCTGGCTGGCTGTGTCACTCCCCCAGCCACCCACCTCCCTCCCTTTTCTCCCCTCACCGCTCACGGCCATCTGGCCCTACCATCCGACCAAGCTCTGCAGGGCATCCGGTGGGGAGGAAGGTAGGGGCTCTGCTACACAGGCCACCTTCAAAACTTACCTCCCACCGGGTGACACGGAAGATGTGTCTACTCTAGCAGAGTGTCAACCACACTGTGGAATCGTAAGCATGTCTACATTAGCAAGTTCAACAATGTGGACTCCACTCTCCGAGACAGAGTACTCAGTGAGACAAAGCAAGTGGTAAAAGTCTAGGCAGAAGTCACTGTGTCCTGTTGAACCCCATGGGAAGACACTGGGGTTGCTCCTGACCACCGGGCATATTTCACAAAAAAATGAGATTTGATTTGGGCAGGCAAGTAAGTTACAATATGGCTTCCCGACCTCTGCCATGAAGAAATTAAAACAACGCCATCGCCTTGACCAAGGAAGAGTTACTCAAGTTGATCTCATTTTCTGCAAGGGTGTCTTTTCAAAGCCATGTATATTTTACATTCTGGGCAATTTGGGTGACTTCTAATGGTATTTTGATCATAGGTGATTTCTGATTCATTCGCTGACTTTAGATTTGAACTGCAATATTAGCTTTCCACCATCACCTGCCCCAGGCAGGTGCACGCACCAAGAGTGTGTGGCTCAGCTGTGAAGACAACTGAGTGGGTGGACTGCCATTTGTAACCGACACAGACCTCCAGCCCTTGGCCACTGTGCCAGGCACGGTGGTGGTGCTCCCCCCATTGCTGGCAATGGGGGAAGCTGATACTCGGGTGAGCACAGGCTCTACAGAAAGGCATCCAGCCATGACGGAGCCCTGCTCTGGCTGTGGCCTCTGACCCATGTAAGAGCTATTTAAGGACGGGGTGAGTGGTGATGAGAAGAGTTTGGGCGAGTGGGAGCTCCTCTGGGCTGGAGCTGTAACAAGATTCCTCTGGATGTCCATGTGGCTGGGGGACACTGGAGACTGTGGGGCTTTATCAGGCCCTGTTGGGGGGTTGTCTAGACACCAGTTCATTCCCATATGGTTCTGAGGTCTTCCTCCATGCTGGACGCTTTGCCAGATGTTGTTCTTTATTTATGCTCAAGATCATTACTCTGCCCTCTTTCAAGGCGGGGGTCCAAAGGGGTGCGCTATGGATGTGAGATTAACTGTTCTATTAGGTAAAATGTTGGAGGGAGTGGGGTCACTGCTAGTCCTGATGGTACCTTTATGTAAACTAAAAACGGCACCCCTTCCTCAAGACTAGTTCCATCTGTTGGCAAATTACTAGCATAAATATTCAAATCATTATCTTTGCAGTCAACAAAGTGATGATAAGAATACAAAAAAAGATTTTTTTAAATAATAATATACATACAGTGTGACTGTATGTATATTTAGATGTGGCATCTTTGTGCAGTGCACAACCTAAACAACCATACATGGTGGTCCTATGTGCACTGGAAAGGAGGCCTTGCCTTCTCTCACTGCTGTAGGGATTGTGGGAGAAGCAGTCCTTGTAGGAATTCCTGACTCAGCTGGGTTTTCCTTGGTCTTACTTAGGTGCTGTTTTTCCCACCACTGCTGCCTGGAGCAGGTGAGGCAACTGGGCTGCCTGCTTGAGAGGCTTCCTCGGTCACCAGTGGAATGTGCGGACGGTACAGCCAAGTGTAAGTGCTGTGAGGCTGTTCAGTGAGCTATGCCTTCACTCAGGTCAGCATCACGTATGGCTCAGGCCTCCCGATGCTTTCCCAACCACGTTTTCGTCTATAATGTGATTTAATACTCTTCTTAACCGTGAGGCACACTTACTCCCTGATCCTGCTGAGGGCACGGAAATTCAAGAGGCTAAGTCCGCTGCCGAAAGTCAGAGCTGGGTGGGAGCAGACCAGGAACAACAGAGCCTGTGCTTATGGAGTGCCTGCCACGTGCCGGCCAAAGCTCTCAAGACGGCCTAACAAAGTTAATCCTTCCAATGATCCTGTGAGGAGGTCCCGAGTCCTCCCTTGACGGAGGAGGCGGCTGAGGCCGAGGTCACACTGTAGAAAGAAGTTGGTGGTGGGAGCAGGAGTGGGGCCTGGACTCTGCCCTCGCTCAGCAGCAGCAGGGATCTCTCCCTGCCTCCTTGCGTGCAGGACCACGTGCACCTGTCATTTCTGGGAGCCCTGTGCCACTCCTGCACTAACTCACTCAGTTATCTATCCCACACGCCTTTCCTGGGAACTAGGAAGGCACTGAACAGGCGCAATCCCTGCCTCAAGTCCCCCACAGCCCGGAGGACAGACAGTCACGCAGGTGACTGCTCTCATCCCGGGTGGAAGGTGCTCACCGGAGTGCACAGGCTCCGGGAGCTGTGGAGGGGTTCTGAGCCTGCAGAGCAGGACGCGGGGGCCGGAGAACTGAGCAGAGTCAGAATGATGGTGAGGAGGGATCTTAGAAGAGGTTGTCAGGTTCCCAGATGGCCATGCTGGGTGTGGATGTTCCAAGAGAAGTGAAAAGAGGAAAATCGCGGCATTGGGGGCACTCCTGGCAGTGTAAGAACAGAAAGTGGGGGTGGGGGACGGCTGCGGTGCCAGGTGAGGCGGGAAGCTAGACGGGCACCAGATGATCCTGTCGAGGCATGAGGAGCCGGGGCGGGTTTAGAGCCACGAGTGACAGGATCAGATTATTGTCATTGTGCCGTGGGGTCTCACCTGCTCAGCTGAAGAAGGCTCCTTCGCTATCCCTGCAGCCTCACAGGGGGTCTGAACTCCTGTGGGGCTCCAGGGACCCAGGTCTGCCCTCCGTGAGCTCGGAGCAGTGTCCTGTGCCAGACGCAGTGCCGGGTCATGAGAACTGTGGGCAGAGCCTGCTCTGCGCTGTCCCGACACAAGGCCCGGAATCGCTCGGGGGAGCAGGCTCACGTGTGTGTCCACTCTGCTTTCGGGCCTGTGTTTGTGTGCCCCTCCTTTCGCTTCCTCGTGTTGGAAGGCAACAGTGTAGGAAATTTAGAGGGTCTGTGTGCTGAGAGAAAATCTGGCTGATGAACACCTCATGGTAGGTTCAGATGCAAAAAAGTCAGAACAAACACATCTTTAGCTTCATTGAAAACTAAAGGTAAGGATAGTATTTGCAGGAGGCGTATCTAAGTACCTTCAAGCACATTACTTCATCTGAGTCAGATAATATCCATCCCCACCCCCACTGCATGCAACTGAAACATTCAAGAAATCGGGTAGGGTTGCTAGATCTAGCAAATAAAAAGACATTAACTTGAATTTCAGATAAACAACAAATAATTGTTTAAGTATGCCCCAAATGGATATACTTACATGAAGATATTGATCTGAAATTCACATTTAACCAGGCATCCCATATTTTATCTGGCAATGTTAAAATAGATTGCACCAGAACTACTTCCATCTGACAAAGGGGGAAGGTCTGGCCCAGAGAAGTAAGGAAGTAAGATATCTAACAGTTCTGTCCAACAAATATTTTCTGAGTGCCAACTCAGGAAATAGGGGTCAAGGACTGACTTAGCTGCTCGAACACATGGACTCTGCCAGCAAGGTTCTCCGTCCAGCGAGAGGGAAAGGTAAACACAGACACAGATGATTCATGCACAATATCATTAACACACAACCTGCTAGGATAGAAGGAGCCACAGGTGGGATCTGATGGGAGCCCACGGGGAGCTATCCCCTTTACTCTGGGGCCTCAGGGAAGCTTTTCTGGAGGAGAGGGTGCCAAGGGGAGTCTTGACAAACAGGTGAGTTCACCAGGAGAAAGTGAGAATATTCCCAGCAGGGAGATCACGGATGCTGGATGTCGCGAGGCTCCAAGATGGTGGGTGGGGGGACAGGGCTGAAGGGGCAGGCAGGCTGGCCACATGCCACCCTATGTCACACGTCTGCCACTCTGTTCTTGCCCTCTAAGGTGTGGGGCAGAGCCTGTGTGCGAAGCTGCTTTGTGCCTGTGACCAGATGGTGGCCGCGTGCGTGGCCTCTGCCTTCTTTAACCAAAGCCTCAAGTCATCGGGCACGCACGAGTGCAAGGGCCAGCAGCTGTCCTGCGAGGACAGCATGCCCGGGGGCCCTGCGGCTTCCTCCCCTGGCTCCAGCTCTGAGGAGGGCAGCGAGGAGGCCATGCCCCGCACAGAGGGCCCCAGAAGAACCAGAAGATTTTTGGGGAGGTCACTTGGTCCTGTGGGGACCAGGCGACAACATGGCCCCAGAGAGACCCCTGCAGAAAGCCACAAGCACCGCCCACAATAGGTTCCTCCCATCACTGTCCTCCCTGCGCTTCCATCTCTGTCTTCCCGTCCTCAGCACAGGCTCAAACGGAAAAGAGCTGGCGAGCCCCGTGCATTGTGATGCTTGTCAGCTCACATGGGAATGTGTTCTATACTTCCTTCAGTGCGCCCTGGGAGCTCAATAAAAACTCCAATCGGTGTTCGTTTGGGTTTTGTTTTGAAGAAATGCTGTAGATACTAGTGCATGAGTAAATGCCAAAGATGACAGAGCCATGGAGCCAAAAATTATCTCCACTCCCTCATCACTGAAAGCTACTTCTCCTATTAGAAAAAGAAAGGGGGGGTATATATTTAATCAATCTTAGGGGATCACCTGTGGGACACCAATAACCCGAGGATATGTGCCAAGGACTAAAACGACAGCTCTTCTGGTATGTGCCCCTAAAAACACACCCGCCATTTGAGTTATTCTGAGTGTCCATGTGCCACGGCCACCACCACCACGAAGAATTATGGCTCACCCTTGCCTTGGGTCCTCGACTTTTTTTTTTTTTTTTAATACGGTTTATTCCAGTGGCTGGAAGTTTTGGGGGTTTAAATGCCCATGCTGACAGAGGCAGATTAATATCATGGTAACTGTAAAAACCTGAAATTATACCCATCCTTCCACCACTCTTTAGAGATTCTCCTGTGTTACCAGGCCCTTTAGAGATTCTCCTGTGTTACCAGGCAGAAGGTAGTGTGTTACCAGAACCTCCCTCCATATTCCATAGGAACACGAAGTCCTTGGTTCACATCACATCCTTGGTTCTCAATCCCCATAAATTATGTGCCTGGTAGTGAGATGGTCTAAGAGTCCCTTTCTGCTCCTCAGACAGGAAAGCACAACCGCTAGAGTTCAGTGTTGCTGACCTTCTCGTGGTAGGAAAATATTCTGAAGTTGGCAACAAGGTTAAGAAATTAAAAGGTCGTGGTGCCAATAGTAGACATCCTTCCTTCCTTGCCTTCCAAGGGATTCATGTGATGAGCACCCTTTTTTAAAAAAAAGACTTTTTATTTATTTGAGATAGAGAGCAAGAGAGAGTGAGCAGGTGGGGAGACGGAGAAGCAGACTCCCCGCTGAGCAGGGAACCCGACGCAGGACTCATTCCCAGGACCCTGGGATCATGACCTCAGCCGAAGGCAGACACTTAATTGATTGAGCCACCCAGGTGTCCCATGATGAGCACCTTTTGGTTAATCCAACACATTGGTACCTTTTTCACCTGGTGACCTTAACTAACCACCAAAGCTGGGTTCTCCCAGAAGTGACCCCTCTGACAAGAACTCGAAAGCAAGTTTAGTTGGCAAGTGAGGGAAAGCCTGAGTGGAGACCGAAGAAATAGGTCAGGAAAGGTAGCCAGTGAAGGATGCCTTACCAAGCCAGTTATGAGAATACACACCGAGAGAGGAGAGAGATGGGGACATCAGCTTCTGTCACATCAGCCTTTACTCCCGGGGAGGGTGACATCTCCTTCTGGCCTGCTGCACACGGGAACAAAGCAGGCTCCATGGCAGAGAAAGCCTTCAGGTGCTTCAGTTAGCCAGCGGGCATCCAGTAGCGAGGGGTTGGGGGGGGAACTGGCTGCAACTAGTGCATGGCTGGCTGGCTCCTCCCTCCTTCAGTCCCGAAGCCAGGTCCCAACGGTCCACTCCCACCGGCAGTCCCAGTCGTGAGTTCAAGCCCTGAGCCGAGATCAACAGTTGGAACACTTAATGGACTGAGCCACCCAGGTGCCCCCAAACACGTTATCTTTATACAGAACAGTAAGGTCTGCCCTTGGCTCCAAAGGGTGACAGCATCCCTACCTTCCTAGAGTCTGTTTGCTGGAATACATTGAGAAGATAGTCCAGAATAAAGGCTGTTGGTATCTGCATGCTCACATGACATGCACAGACACACAAATTGTCTGGCAACAATGGTCTCAGCTAATATTCCACTGAGAAAACTGAAGGTTTCCAACGGGAATGCCTTCATCTTCCTGCTGCTAAAGCTACAAAGTTAACTGCAGTCTCTCTCTTCCGTCTTGTTACAATGAAGTTTTCCCTATTCAGATCAAAGGTCAATCCCTCCAACTAGGCTCTGTGTAATGAATGCTCTAGTGCTTTCTTGGGTTTGACTCCTGTAAGTTTTCTTTTTTAGAGACAGAGAGCGCACATGCGTTGCGGGGGACCGGAGGGGACAGAGGGTAAGGGAGACTCTTAAGCAGGCTCCATGCCCGGATGCAGAGCTTGACCTCATGACCTGAGCTGAAATCAAGAGTCGGACGCTTAACTGACAGAGCCACCCAGGTGCCCCAATACTTCCTTTTTTAACCAATTTATTCTCTTCTTCTGTATCAATCTTATCAGCATGCAAATATGTCCTAAAATCTCCCATCTTTAAAAAATCCCTCGACTCATTAAGCAAGATGGGGGAAGCATGGAAATTGTCAATCTGATGCTCCTAGCTTTAGTCTCATCCTTAAATGCCAAACTAGATGGTGCTCTGCTGGACACTGTTGACCTGACTCGACATCAGCCAACACCTACCACTTACTCCACACACTGCTGTTAACCAGCCGCACATGGGCTTCAACCTGCCTCGTTCAGAGAGGTGGGATCTGACAATGTCTGCCTTCGAACTTCCCTTCTTCCTGCATTCTGACACAGGACTTCTCTGAGGAGGAACCATGGGGCACCCTGGGAAACTACTCAGTGCTCAAGCACACACAATCCAGAAATGGGGGGAGGGTTGCTGCCAACAGGCCACCCACGTTCAGCAGGACGGACCTCCAGTCACCTACAGTGATGGACAATTCTTACATAAATCCTCTTAATGAGCCTTTTCTCCTTGCAATTCACAGTTCCAGGCCCTGGCCGGGTCTGCTGGGATTGCAGCCCAGAACAATCCCTGCGCGTCAGCCTCGGTCTTAGCTCAAGTTCTCCTAAAGCAGAGCCTGGGGCTCAAAGCGCAGGTAATTGGCAAATTTTATAGCAGGAGTAAGGAGGCAGCGCTTGATGTTCTACCTTGGCTCTACTTTTTCACTCATGTGAACTTGGTGCTTGAAATCAGTATTTATCAGAACAGCTGACAGGGACCGACCACTTAAGGCTGGAAAGAAAGCAGCTTCCTGGAGGTGGAATAAGCAAACCAGGGTGGCACAGGGAACCAGAGCCACTATTCTTTTTCTTTTTCTTAGATCCTTTGTGTAAGTTATACAAGGAGAGAGGGTTGAGATGCAAACATTAAAACTGAAGCAGAGAAGGCAACTGCACTTTCCCAGTTCTCACTATGTGCTCCACCTTCACTGCATCTCGCCATGACCAGCAGTTACGGTTCTGATTCTTCTTCCACGGACATGCTGATGCATCCACCTGGCAACCTGAGTTTTACCAAAGCTCTTCATTTCTAACTAAAGCAAAATACTAAATAAACTTAATTTAGTAAATGTAATAGCTATTATAAATACCCACGTATCCAGAAGTAATTTGATTTTATTGCTTACATATGAATTGCAAAGTAAATTTTTACATTTCAAAAAAACCTCACTGTTACATTTATTACATATATTGGCATGGATAAGACAAATGAGTTCCATGTTCAGATAGGAGGAAGAGAAATGTTAATTGCTGGTAAAGTGTGGTATTATTCTAAAAGATAATGAGTTCAGAAGCATTAAGGGGTGTTTGTGTTGTGTACACGGGCACGTGTGTGTGTATTCAGGTGAATTCCAATGACAGTCGAACTCTTTATAAGCAAAGTCAACACAAATACAAGGAATGTTTATATGTTAGCTATTCAGTGTCAAGGAAAAAAACAAAGCAAGTGTATGCAGCAAAAAGAGAATGATTAACAGTTTATTAAGAGTTTTAAATATCTACAAAAATATAGCCATACGGTGAACTTCAACAAATCCTAAACTTCTCTCTCCAAACTGGCTAGAATACAGAACACACACCCATTACCTGGCAGGATGTCCTGCAATTTCCTGGAAAGGACAAACCAAAGAAAAGACCCACTTTTGGGGAATCATTATTAACAAGACCAGTTCAGTCATCTAGGACATATAGAAGTCTACTGTGATTTAAAAACAACAAGAAAAAAAACCCTGCAAACCCCACATCAACAGTTGACAAACAGACCAAGAGAAAGGTGTGATAAACATTAATTCAAATGGTTTTCCTTTACATGCAATACATGCATTTCTTATACCACAGAGAAACATGAAATTTTCTAAAGTTTGTTTGCATGAGTGCAATTGAATATAGATCTCCTTTACTTATACTATTCAATTATATATGTTTTTCATACAAAAGCACACAGTGTTAATCTATAAAATGACATCCAAGTGGATGATGATTGTTTTTTTGCATGTCCCCCTGCTTAGATTTTGTTAAATGCACAAAAATTAATACACTTCTTTAAAAATACAGAAGAAAAAAAGGGAAATAAAAAACAGAAAACTTGGCCTATTATATGATGACACATCTTACCCAATCAAGAAGCAAAGTTACAGTGACAGCTGCAAGAAGGCCGTTCAACGCCTGCACTATCATTCTGAAACAAGGTCTTGCTTACCTACATTTAACACACTGCCCAGGAGGGCTGAGTATCATTTTATGGGTTTCAATGACTAGGCTATTTTGCAAGATGTTTCAAGATGCTGTACTTCATTTATTAAAAAAATCTGGGGTATGCTTGTTCTTTTGTTATTTCCTGACCTTTCTCTGTTTCTTGTACAGGTGCATAATAATCATAAACTCAAACTTATAACCTGCCATTCTCACTGTAAGTTTTCAAACAAAAACAAAAGATAAAAACTGAATTAGTTTTTGAGCTACAATTTTTGATATGTATATTGTTCTTTGTAAAAAGAAACTGAATCTGAAAAGGCAATACAGTTATAAAGAGGTTATTCTATAAAAATGTCCTATGAGAATTTTATAAGACTTGCAAAGAAAGTCATTCATTTTTGCTGTGTGATGGAATTCACTAAAATG